AAGTATTATTGAATGTTAGATTAGCTTGAAACTTTGATCTAAATAATTATGAATTTAAATAATACTCACAAACTGTAATAAGATATGTATTTTATTATGTGATAATTAATCAAAGAAACATTATTAGATGTTATATTAGCTTGAAACTTTGATCTTGATAATTATGAATTAAATAATACTCACTCACTGTAATAAGATATGTATTGATTAAGTGATATTTAATTAAAGAAGTATTATTAAATGTTAGATTGGTTTGAAACTTTGATTTAAATAATTATGAATTTAAATAATACTCACAAACTTAATAAGGTATTTGATCATGTAATAATTAATTAAAGAAGTATTATTAAATTTTAGGTTAGCTTGAAACTTTGATCTTTAATAATTATGAATCCGAATACTCACGACCTGTAGTACAAATTAAAAAATAGTCAATTAGTGGATTGGTTACAAAGTTTTGATTTCAATAAATTATTGAATCTAATACTCACATATTGTAATATAATGTATAATTGATCTTAAATAATGTTAGTTGGACCCTTATAAATTTTTAAGTTTTATTATAAACACATTCTTTTTGATTATTGCAGAATTCTTTAACAAAAAAATCGTGATTTCAGTCACACTGCATTTAACCTCCCGTGATCGAAAATAATGCACTGATTCAATTGCAGAATTCAGAAAGCCGAGTTGTTAATCAACCAGTCTTTGCTCGTCCTATTATAACAAATGATAATAATAGTAATAATGATTCAGTTACTACTTCAAATTCGAAATCCATTACCTTGGACGTCGCAGGAGGGTTATCATTTATTAAAGTAAATAGAAATAAAAATACTGTAGTCTATTCACAACCGAAGTTTTTAGTCAACTTCATAATGTGATTCGTTTCTTAAGGTATTTAATATATAAATATATTTTAATTTATTTAATTTAGTTTTAATATTTCTAATATATTTAATTAAAAATCTTTTTTAAAAATCTTTTAAATAGAAAAAAGTGGATCTTGCCCAAACAGCGGAAGTTTTATAATAGCTTTGATTGAACATTTCAATATAACAACAATATTAATGGTGATTAAATTTAACATTAATATAATATGTTTTGTTATGTCCGGAATGTGCTATTAGACCAAATCTTTTGAAAGAAAGACAAGAAAAGGTTGATGTTTTGCGTGGAATGCTATACAGAGAACTTGATGATTGCTATAATGGTTGGTTTTCATTTGAGTATTATTTATTTATTTATTTATTTATTTTATTTAGGAGTTAGAAAGTGAAGAAAAGATTATGTTGATACATTTAATGAAAGATAGCTCCCCATGAATGATCAAAGATACAATACTCCTATGGATAAAGGTAAAAATTACTGTTATTAACGATTATTACTAACAATTAAATTAATGATTATGTAATGCTGATATTAGAATTTGTAGATATTTAATAGGGTTAAAGTTCCAGATGAAAGTGGTTTAAAGATTCACTTAAAGATGGTAAATAATAATAATAATAATTATTATTTTGTTATTTGTTGCTAATAAATATTTCTCTCTATTTTTTTTTTTTTATCGTAGTTGGGTTGCTATTGGTGTATGTTCTTGAAAATAAAGTTAGACCTGAGGTAAATAATAATAATAATTATTATAATTATTATTATTAAAAACACATTAATTACACATATTTATTCAATAATGCTTATAGGACAAACCTAAACAAAGGAAAGGAAAACAAACTAATAGAAAAATAAAAATCACAAATACTCATTTGGAAAACTTTCATATGCCAGCAAAGTCATAAATTATTATTATATAGTTAATAAAAATTAAGAAGAATAATAATAACAAAAATAATAATAATAACTAAAAATTGGAAATAATATTAATAATTGGGAATAATAATAATGACAATAATATTAAAATAAATAGAGGGAGAGTTGTGTTATAATAATCTTTCTTTGGGAGAGATTTATATATGTCATTTTATGAATATGAGGAATGCCCAATAAATTACAGGAGTTAAAATTTAGATAGCTTAAATTTTTTTAGTTAATTCTTGGAATTCTTGGAATCCGTGAACCTCTTAGCTTTTAACTCTGCCTACATTTCAAATAACATTATGTTTCATATCCGATATTTTTTTTTTTAATCGGAATGATGATAAATATGTTGTTTGCATATAAACTCATTTTATCACACAAGAATCCCTATTAAGATATATGAATTTATTTTTTCAACTTGGAAACGGCCAGCTGATAATCAGAATGTGAATTTTATTTCCCGACTTCAACGTGACAGTTATACAGCTATGAATAATTATCTGTTCGATCTCATTCTTTAAGTTTTTTTCTTTTGCAGTAGCCCCATATATAAAATGATTACGTTTTTAGAGCCAGCTTTACCCTCAAGCACATTGTCTAACGAAGAAGTATTTTAACCACACGTTAAAAAATATAGCACCACTGAACTATTGAACATTTATGGAAGAGGGATCTAAAACTAGATGATGATTACTTTACAATCATTTGTAAGGAAAAAATAAAGGGCTTTGATTTTCTTGAATTGACCAAGAGTTTCGTAGTGTTGTATTTGTTTGGGTCCACTTGTAAATTCATTACAGAACTCAAAGAAACTCCGCACGAATAAAAGCAACTAGGGAAATTAGGAGGTTCCCAGAAAGATAATAATTTCAAACTGCAGAAACTAATGAGAAGATTTAAAAGGAAATAAAAATTTAAAAGAATTATAAGAATTATTTATAAAGGATACTACAGCTTGTACAGTTGGAGGATCAATTGAAAATAATGCTGTTTTTCTTTTAAGTAGGAGAAAGAAACAGTCTAAGAACCAATCATCTATACAAGTTGCTTGCGGGGCACCCTCGTTTGTATATTAGTTCAATGTTTGGGCTAATTCCAGTGTGATTTTCGCGTCTGATTACGTTTAGCGAATAAAAGGAATAAAAGTTAAAAGAAATTATGTTCATGTTGCAAGGTGCTTCCTTGTGAGGCGAGCTGTTTGCTCATGATATGAGATGTTTCCTCATCTCCAAAAGTGCAATTTTCCAGACTGTTTCATATTTAATGTTTTCCATAATTTACTTTTATTTGTTAATTTCAGATGCAGCAGATACCACAGAATATAAAGAATGCCCATAGAAGAAAAATATCAAAAGCAAACCAACCACTTGCCAAAAAAGAAGTTATAAAAGAAGAATTAGAAATAGCAAGGTTAGAATTTTTAATTTTTCATTTCGACGATTGCATATTAACATTATTTATCCATTTACAACCTCAGAATTCTGAAGATATCCATAAAAAAACGTGAAATTATTTATCAGATGATATAATATTGATGTTTACAAGCCTCTAACTACAAAAATAAAGTGCTTAAGGGGGTGTGCGGTGACTATAGAGGGAGTTGACTGTAAAAGATGTGATTACTAAGAATTCGATTGTAAAATGTTATCACACCACGAACTATCTCTATCCTGTCTCTAAATAATGGTAGGGGAATTGTTTTCGGCTTGAAACGATTGAATTATCATTTTCAAGTGGATGGTTTGCCGTGGATAATTATTCATTGTACGATTGAATTTTGTTATATTTTTAAATATACATATATTTCAAATTGTCTTGCATATATACAAACCACATTCACTTGAATTTATATTTTTTTTACTTTTATTTTTTATTTTATTTTCACTTTTATATATTAATAATAATAATAAAATATTTAAAGTTCAAGCGAATTAGTTTCAAATAGATTATTCAAACGTCAATCATATTATATCCAATAATAAATTAATCAAATATACATAATTAAATATCAATCAAATTATTCAGATCAAATGTAAAAGCTTTTATTATGAAAAATGAAAAGTATGTGCGATAAATAAATAAATATGAAAATAATTTATTACCCCCAAAAAAAATGTCTATGTTTTTATGATTTTTAACCTATTATTATGTACTAGATTTTTTTTTTTTGTTTTTATTATTATTATTATAATTATTAATATTATTATAATTATTATTATAATTATTATTATAACTATTATAATTACTACTTGTTGCTGTTACTGTTGTTGTTTTTGTTTTCGTCGTAGTTTTCCCATTTTTCCCATTTTTCCCATTTATTTTTACCACTTTTTCTATTATGGAGGAAGAAGATGATTCCAAATCTGTTTTTGACTTAAACCCATTTGTGTGAGGAATATGACTAATACGTGATGATTTTATCTTTCTTTTTTTGTTTGGAGAAATATTTTTAATTGATAATTTTTTTTGTTTAATATCATCACCATCACCATTTTGAATTTTAATCACTTCAGAAGAAGTGGGCGAAGGTGAAGGTGGTGAAGAAGATGAGGAAGGTGAAGAAAATGACGATGATCCATTATTTTTTAAAGGAGAATCATTAATCATTTTTGACTCTTTCCTTTTCTTTTTTGATCCGTTTATCTTAATTGATTTTTTGTCATTTTGAGTTGAAATATAATGATTTTTCTGTTCTCCAAATATGTCTGTAAAGTATGATTTCGTCTCTTCGGAATAATGTTTTAAATTGTCCAAATTTATTTCCTAAATAAACAAATAAAGTTAAACAAAATTAAATACACTTAAATAATTAAACATAATTAAACGTGAAGAATAATAAAAAGATAAAAAGTATACCTTTTCTTCTTTATCCCTTAACATTAACATATCATTATTCTGATTCAAATAGATAATGTAAGACGATGAAAGGTAATCTGATATTAAATCTTCTTTATTATTATTATTTTTTTTTATTATCATTATCATTAACATGTTCATGATCACTCAATCGTTTGGGCAAATAAGCAATTGCTTCAACTATATCTTTCACATTATGAACTGTAATTGGAATGTAACTTCTTGGATCAAAGAAGTAGAAGGTACACTCTAAAAAAAATTATAAAGAAATTAGTTGTTAATAATTATTCTTTCTTTAATAATAATAATAATAATATAATAATAATGATTTATAATATCTTTTTGAGTATTATACCTCCAAATCTTTCATTATTACATGCAACGACAAAACTCGAATTTTTAGGGTCAACAGCTAAATGATGAACTTCAAGATTTTGATTCCACCAAACTATGTGAAAACAACCAAATAAATATTTAAATTGATTATCAACGACGAAATAATATTTAATTTTTTCAAATTACTTAATTACTTACTTGTACAAGTTAATAGATTGAATACAGATAAATGTCTTTTCGTTGTAGTTACCAAGAATGGTAAATCATTAATGAAGGCAAGATGTTTCACAGTTCCATCATTCGGAATTAAAGGTAAACTATAATTAATAACATTTAAACGAGAATCCCATAATGTTATAATTGAACCATATGCGATGGCGAATATTGATCCATCTTTTGAGTAAGTTGCTACACTAGGAGTTTCTTGTCGATAGGAGCCAACAAAGTTACATTCCCAATTTATTATTTTTTCTGGTAAAAACATTAAAATATTAAAAATATTATTATTAACTATCATAAGACAAGAGAGAGACAAAGACAATCACAAGATAATTCACAAGAAACAACATACTTTCGGAATCCTTGGAGTCAATGTTGAGTTTCCAAATCTTAAATTTATTATCTAAACTTACAGTCATAAAATTTGGACATGTATTATTTGTTCCACGATGAAAATTCAACGAAACAATTGATTTTAAATGTGGGTGGTCGACTCGTGTATTGAGTACATATGTTTGAGAAGAAAGATCGAATTGCCAAAATTTTAAATATAATTCAGGCGTTGTTACACCATCATCTCTTGAATCGACCTGAAGAAATATAATTAATTATTTATTTAAATTATTTAGTAAACAAGAAGAAGAGGAAGAATAATAATGAACTTTGTAATATATTTAATATATTTAATAAGATATTTACCGTTGCCATCCATTCTCCATTTGATGAGAATGCTACATGACGGACGTGATGATATATAATTTCTTTTTCAAATGATCTAGATACTAAGCTTCGTAACGAAACTTCTACTTCCATTACATGTCTATCTGTATAAGCATTATAAAATTGGATGGTGCCAGGAATTCCATTAAGAACTATATAATGATTTCGTGGTTCAACCACTAGACCGGTGGATAAAGGATTTGTATTCGTATTTGATTGCGCTATCATAATATTTCATAACATTCATATCATTCATAATAGAATTAAATATTTAATTACTAAAATGTAATTACTAATATCTAATTACTAATATTTAATTAATCTATCTAATACACATATATATATATAAAACAAAACACACACCATATTTTAATCCTTGTATTGATTGTCTAATTTCAAGATTTATTACGGAATATATTTTAATTGAATTATCCAAAAAACCCACAGCATATAAGGTTTGATCAGGACTTATCGAAATGGTACAAATTTCGGATCCAAGGCGCGGAAGGAATGACATATTTTTTGTTTCAAATTGCCATAATACAAGAACCGCTTCTTCCCCTCCAGAAAGAAGATACGTACCTATATATATATATATTATATATTTATATACATTGTTGTTTATGTGATATTTAACGAAAATGTTAATTTAAGAAAAAAAATAATAATAAAAGAAATATAAAGAAATAGGTATAAATATATTTTATATTACCATCACTCGTAAATTTGATATAATTTACTTTATGAGCGTGCCAATGAACAGATGAGGTAACGGGATTTTCAATCTGTAATTCGTTAAGACAATACCTAAATAATAATAATAACACAATAATAAATATTGATGATGATGATGATTCTGATGTTGTTTTTTTGTTGACACGAAAACATTTCTGTTATCATTTACCAATAAGTAATTCTTCCTTTATAATCTCCAATAGCTATACATGATTTCGTGGGATGAATTGCAATACAACTGATTCTTGATCCGTGCTTGTATCTAAATGATTAAAGATTTTTTAAAGAAATTTTTTTTTAGTGAACCATTTTTTCATCAGAAATTTTAATAATAATAATTATTATTATTATTTACTTGGGCCATTTCAATCTGATTGAATTTTGAATTGATTTCAACTTGATCACCCGAATTGTTTGAATAAAAGTAATAACTAAATATTCATCATCATTACTAACTTCTAAACCAGTGCAATCATACCAAGATTTACATAAAATTTGTATTTTGGGTTGACTATTTGGTGAGTCAAATTTAAAATGTAAAAGAACATATCTCTCTTGAATTTTATCATTGCTTGCTTTTCCAAGTGAAAAAAAAAAAAAATTTATTTAAAAAAAATTAAAAAATTTAATTTAGTAACTTATTTAATAAATTAGAATTAACAGATGACATATTACTGACCTTTTTTCTTCTCAATTTTTTTCGGTTCCCCCGTTACCACGAAAAATTGATTAGGATAAGAAATTAGAATTATCATTTTATAAATCGGAACACCTAAATCATATACCTAAAGTTATTTAAGATTATTTAAGATTATTTAAGATTATTTAAAGTTATTTAAGATATTTTAATATTATTTAAATATTTTAAATAAAGTAATTTCAAAGAATTGATGTAAAGACAATAACTAGCAAAAAAAAAGAATAATTTAAATACAAAATTTACCTCCAATAAATTCGAATTATTGTAATCCCATTTTCTAACCGTACCATCCAAAGACCCAGAATATAACTAACAATTTTAAAATTTAATTCCAATTATTTAAATTATTTTTTTTTTAAAAAAAAGAGATCAGGTGTTAAAAAAATTTTTTTTTTTGAATTTTTATACTTGTGAAGAATTATTAGGATCCATCATAATGCAAGTAATCTCATCTTTATGACCATTCCTTTCTGTAGAATCCGAAATCTTCTTGACAACATCACCCGTCGATACGCTATAAACTTTAATGGTTTTTGAACAAGCACAGAAAAAATATCTAAAGAAATTTAATAAAAATCAAAATAATTAATCAATCAATATACATAAAAGAAAAAAGAAAAAAAAAATCAAATTCACTATAAATAAATAATTTAAATAAATAAATAATAATAATTAAATGATTTAAATAAATAATTTGAATTTTTGATTTAAAATAAAAGATTAAATAAATAAATATTAATAATCAAAAAATTTCAAATTAATACAAATCCAAAAAGATACCCACTTTGAATCGGTTGAAAAAACTCCGGGTATTTTATTCAAACTTCCTCCCGATATTTGACTAATTACAATTTCTCGAGTATTTACCGATTTTATAACATTATTATGAATTTGTTTTGATTCCATTTTTTTTTTTGAAAAAAAAAAAATTTTTTTTCGTCTATATCAAATTATCAACTAATATATATATATATATATTTGATAAATAAAGGGATATGTATATTTATATATATTTAGTATTTGGTATTTTAGATTCTATTAAAAATTATTAAAAATTCCGTCGTTAATTTATAGACAAAAGTCTAAGTTATCATAGACGAGAAGTCTAAATTAGATATAAAGATTTAATTTTTTTTTTTATGATAAATTTCATTTATTCAAATTATTTCACGTGAATTATATCAATTATATATCGGATCTTTTTTTAAACTTTTTTTTATAATACTTTACGCGTTCTTTGATCCATTTTTGATACCAAAAGTTTTAATATAGAATATATACGCATATGTAAGATATATAACAAACAATTGAGGATTAATTACTTGATGTCTTATATGGTGTATTTATTAAAATTTTATTTTTAAAGAAATTTCAGTGAAATTCATCTTTTTGCACGTGAGGTTTTCTACACGTTATACACGTGGATTGTGCGATGATTTGCGTGATTCATTTAAAATTGAATATAATTAATTCTTAATACTTTAATACTTATTATTATTATCGTCACAGTAATGACGATAATAGTAATTATTATAATAATAACAAATAATAATAACAATAATAATGACAATAATGATAATCATCATTACGAAACCCAATTTAATGGTACAAAATTTTTTTGTTGAATGATAAATAATAAAGATATTAAATAATAAATAATAAAAAGGTGATGATATATTAAATGATAAATAGAATAAATAATAAAAATAAAAACATATATATTAAAATAAGTCGATACAACGAAAAGAAGTTAAAATAGAATTAAAGAAAATAAAATAGAAAATTGGAAGAAATACATGAAAAATTTTTTGATAGAAGAACGACATCATTCATTCATGATACTGTAATTAATAAACATCAAACAACAATAAATCTATAGATCAATAAATTAAAATAAATTAAAATAATCAATAAAATTAAAAATCAAAACAAGTCAAAAATAAATCAAAATAAATCAAAACAAAGGAAACGCGTTTACAATTAAAAAAATTAAAAAGAAGAAATAAATAATAAATGTTCTATAAAGAAAGAATATTAAAATCAATATATAATTCTTCTATTCTGTTTTTGGAAAACAAAACAAATAGTAATTCTATATTCTATCTACCGAATTTTAGCAACAACAATAATAATAATAATAACCTTTGTTGAGAAAGAGGCGTTTTTTTTTTTTTTTTTGTGACAAAGTATAAAATTTGTGATTAAATTTTTATGAAAATTAATTAAAAAAAGAAAAATTAATTAAAAAAAGAAAAGGTGGCTTCTTTGTTTAAGTTATTCAAATTTGATATTCCATTAAATTTATTGGAGAATTGATATTTTATTAAATTTATTGGATATTTTAACGAGACCATGGTTCCAAGGATCGTTTGTTTATTTATCCCAAAATCATAATTAATACATTTAAATACATTGAATATATTTTATTTGTTATTCTTGGTTGTTTTTGTTATCCCGGGCATTGATTTAGCATCCTTTAATGTTTTTTTTGTGTGTTCGATTTATCAGCGTTGTGTTTAATGTTTTAAATGTTGTGTGTAAGGCTCGAGAATTTTGTAACGTTTTTCTTTTAATAATTTTAATCTCCTGTGGGTAATTTTCTGTCGTGTAACGGCACATCGCCATCATCCGCATCGATTTTCTCGGTATAATTTTATTTTATTGAACTGATGATGATAACTTTTAAGGAGGGAAGGATGTGTGATGTATCCCTTCTTTTACTTTTTTATTTTCTTTACGCGTTAAAAATAGCAATTTGTGTTATATATTTTGAGCGTGATTCATGTGATTGTTGATTAATACGCGTTTAGTATAATAGTTGTTTATAAGTGTTAGTAATTTAGTAGTATGCGGTGAATGAAAATATTAGTAATACTTCGTTGAGTGAGTAATACGTGGCTATGCAATAATAATAATAATCATAATAATAAATAAAATATTAGTGGTACATCTTTTGAATTTTTCATTTTATTTCTATTTAACTTTTTTAGACAGGGGATTCTATATTTAATCAATTAAAGATCAATTCATAATTGATAGTATTCAGATTATAAAAAAAAACAAAAGACGCATTACTAATACTAATTAATAATAATAATAATTTCTTTTGTGATATCTTTTTTTTTTTTTATATCAATTCACTCATTCATTCGCTCATTCATTCGCTCATTCATTCACTCATTTATTCCCTCATTTATTCATATCTCATTCTATATTTTTTTTTTGTTTTTATTCGTACTCAATAGTATAACGCATTATTACCATAAAATATGTCTAATTATATGCATTCAAAATTTATTCTTTGCTTTGTATAACTATTCGATCCATCTTTCCTTTTTTTTAAAAAATAAATAAATAAATAATAAATAATAAAAAAAAAATGAAATGAAATTTAGAAAAACCGTGAAAGTAAATATACACTCTAAATATTAAATAAATAAATAAATAAAAGTGTAAATAAAAATAAGATTAATTATTGATATGATAATGAATAAAGTTGATGATAATAATCAATAAATAACAACCGAAAATGAATAAAAAATAAATTACAATTATTACAATTACAGATTACACATTAAAACAACGTGTAAAAACAACGTGTAAAAACAACGTGTTTTTGTAATTAATTTTTTTTTTTTTGATCGTTTCAAAAATTCTCAATCAATAAATTAAATTAATTTAGCAATTTCGAAGATCACACACATTATGCACAATATCCATTCATTCTTAGACAAAATTCATTTTACATATCACTACATATTTACTACATTCACATTTAATACATTCAATACATTCACCATGTTCAATTACATTCATTACACATAATTATCACTATTAACCAGAATTAACCAGAATCATCAATGAGGATCAAGTTATACAATATTGTTAAATGCTACTCAAAAATTACTTTTTGTAATTATTGTTACTAATTATTAATTATTATTATTAATTATTATAATTACTATTGTAATTATTATTGTTGCTTGTTAGTGTAAATGTTATTGTAATTGTTTTTTTTTTTTTTTGCAACAAATATAAAGCCATTACAATGATTTATGTTTAAGCTCTATTAATCAATTTATTACCAAAATAATTTTCTATCATAAAATTACCAAATTAATTCTTTAATTTATTACTCAAATTTTATAATAATAAAGATTAATAAAGATTAATTAGGAAAAAATAAATAAATAATATATGTATATGCGTAAGGATTTTTTTTTCAGAATCTTCGATTTTTTCTTTAATTGGATTAATCGTAATTCCCGAATATTTCTAATATTCCTTTCTCGTAATCAATTCTTTTAAATTAATAACTTGAAATTAATGACTTAAATTAATATCATTTCCAATAAAAACCTTATCTCATTATAACATCCTTCTAATATTACATTCTATTTATCAGTTCTCATGATTCTTAATTACATAAATGTAAAATGTTTATGGATTCTTGATTACATTAACTTCTATAAATGAATTTTCATCATATTAATTATAATAATTATAATAATTATAATAATCATATTCATATTCAATAATAATAATTCATAATATAGTGATTGAGATAATAATAATGATTGATTAAAAGTAGCAATAATTTTCTAAAACTTTATATCAGTATGCATTTTTATATTTATTAATCTAATTATTCTGATTAAAAAAATTTTTTTTTTTGCAATTCTTTTGATGAACATATTTATGAACATAATAAATTACATGAATAGAATTCATGTGTAATTCGCGTAATCATGTAATTCGTGTAATTCGTGAGTATTTCGTGTAATTGTGTGCATTTCGAAATGTACAGCTTAAATTTTTGTGTAATTATTCATATATACCATTAAATAATATTATTGAATAATAGACGTAATTTGTACATTATTTTTAAAGAATAAAAAGAATAAAATAAATAAATAAATAAAATAACGTAACACAACCAGAGAAATTCATTGATCTAAATTTCAAAAAATCAATTCCCGAGTAAAATTAACGTGTTTTTACTAAAATTACTCAAAAAACCAAAAGAATGCAACAAACATAAAATAAATGAACGCATAAATAAATAAACATCAACAAATAAACATATAAATAAATTTTAAATAATAATAATAAATAAATAAATAAATTCTATTAAAATATTAAATAATAAAATAAATTCAAATAATAACAACAACAACAATAATAATAATAAATAAATTCTGGTAAAATATTTAAATTCTAAATTTTAATAAAAATATTAAATAAATTGAAATAATAATAAATATAATAATAAATATATATTAAACATATAATAAATAAGTAACAAATAAGTAATAAATATATAATAAATATATAATAAATAATAAATAATAAATAATAAATAATAAATAATAATCGATCATAGCATACATAAAGCATCACGTAAACTTTACATGATATATGCATAAATAAACTACATAACATATACACATCATGATCTTTTGATTTCAGCGATCTTTTTTTTTTGTCGATGATCGATCGAAGTATTACGATGTAATAATCGTACGCGATTGATATATGAGTAATTTTAATAATTCTAAAAAAATGCGAATTCAAATTCAAATTAAAAAAAAAAATGAAAAAATATAAAATAAAATAAGATAAAATAGAGACGATAATGACAATGATATTACCGCATTTAACTAAACAACGAATTATCTGACGAAATTATTTATTATCTCAATCAAATCACAATTCACATTTAGAAATAAATAGATTAAATTTTTCTTAATTTAATTTAATTTTGATAACAATAATAATTTAGAAGTAATTTAATTGTACTTAGAAGTAATTAATCATAATAGGTAGTCGACTATGATTGTAATTATAATTATATTCATTCACGTAATTCGTATAACAATAGTTACAGTATTATGGTTGTAAAAAAACGACATTTTAATAATAATTTCGAATTACTGTGGTCCATTACAGTGATTACAGTGATCATGATGATTATATTATTATTATTATTACTGTGGAACGGAATAATGAAATCGAAATTTAGGGAAACCTTAATACTAATTAACCTAAATTTACCTAAATTTTTCTTACTAAACTATTTTAGGTAAACTATCAAATTATGACAGCATCTGATAATAATAAACCCATAAAAATCATATAATAAATCATGCTAAACAATTTTAGGAAACTAATGTAATTAAAATCCTTTATATCATAACAGTAATAAAATATGTTGCAATATAGTAATACCATTGTTGTAATATTGTAATGTTCTAAATAAAGGATGTTCTTGTTTGATTGATTCTTATTTGAGTTAGGTATAATTTAATCAAACTTAATTTAGAATTTAAATTTTTATTTATATTACAATTTATTTATTTTTAATTACATAAAAATACCCGGTTTATTTTATTTTTTTTATAATAATATTGTTGTGTTATTATTAAATTAGTAAAACATTATTATAATTACTAAAATTTTTGATTAATAAAGAAAGATGGATGGATGGATGGAAAGACCGAGACAGAAAATTCGAAAAAAAAACCTATTATCTTATTTTTTTATTATATTATTCTTTTTCAATCTAAAATTGGATTCAACATTCACATAAAATAAAGTTAAAATTCACTTTCAAAAGTCATGTGATTATTAAACATCGTGCGCGTCAAAAAAATGCAAGCATATATCATTAATTTATCTTATTTTTAATATAAATGATAAATAAATCTCTCTTAATTTAGTCGTTCTCTAATTGTTATTTTCTTAACATAATAATAATAATTATTTATTTATTTATTTAAGAATTTAAGAGTAAAGTTGGTAAAAGTTATATAATAGTTAGTTTACATAGTTAACAATATATTATATGCATGCATATGATCAAATTTATTTATATGTGAATATATTTAATATATTTGATATATATATATATACGTGAGCTATTTTAATGTTTATGGTCACGTATATCCAATATAAAAATATATATACAAAATTAAACATAAATAACAAACAAATTATTATTATTTAGAATGATGGAATTATGGAAATAAGAATGTATAATAATAATATGTTTGTATTTATGTATATTTATATTTTATTTATGTATTGAAATTAATGAATGAATGAATTAATAGATTAAAAATAAATAAATAGAATAAATAAATAAAAAAATAAAATCAAAAAAAGAATTATTTACCAAAGATAGAAATGACAATGAAAAATCCTTTTTTTGACATGTTACAATGCATCATTTTTTTTGATTATTTGTTTATTATTATTATTATTTTGTTTTATTTGTGATATTTGTGATATATAAAAATAATAAATATATATATATAATATATGAAAAATATATAATAATATTTACAAATTTAAAAGAAAAAAATACTGCAATAATTAATTTATTAACTATAAATCATTAATTATCATCATAAATCATTGTCTTTTCTTATTCAATTACAAATACTCAAAATTCACAAAATTACAAAAATTTTAAATTCCTCAAATCCTTCAAATCCTTTAAATCCTTTATAAAAAAAAAATTTAAAATAATGACATGTAATCATATAATAAATATGTAATATACAAACAAACAACATCAAGTATATAGGATAATATGCATATGAATTTGAATAAAAATTTTCTTCTGGATTTTAATTTTTTGAAAAAAATTTTCTTTTGTTCTTTTAAATTTTGGGTGACACGGTTTAAATAGGAAAAATCATGAAACCTAAATCTAATTGAACAAATCATAACTAAATCATATATTGTTAACCATATTACCTTTGGCATTCGTTTGCTATGAAAAAACTTTTAAAGTTATCAAAAAAAAAATCATCAAACTAAGTTTTTATCAAGATTATCAATTTTTTAGAAGGTATTTGTATACAAAAGTATTTAATACATTTTTATATATATTTTTTTCGAGATAAATATCAGAAATATCATAAAATGTCTTGCAAACATAAGATATTCTTGTGCAAAAATTAATAAATTAGTTAACAATTAGGTAATAGAAATTTGAATTTTATTTTTTGCAAAAGATATAAATCCTCAACTAAGAAAATCCCTTCAAATCACATGATTGAACCCTTGTATATAATTATCACTATTAAAAGTAAGATTATTTTTTAATGCTCGGTAAGAGAATAAACATAACATTTTTAATGCTCGGTAAGAGTAAGAAATAATAATAACTTTCCCACAATCAAATTTTTTTTATAAATTTTGAGAATATAAAATGAAATACTGTAAATGGAATATAGAAGATTCTGAATCTTTAATTCAATTATTAAATTTACTCCTTCAACATTTAGCCACCAACACGTCTAAAGAACCTTATCTTTTTTTCAAGTATTATACATGAATCCTTTATCTACAAAAAAAATAAATAAAATAAAATAAGGATTGTCAATTTAAGAACACAACGTAAAACCAGCATAAAATATATTAGAAATATTTAAATTGATATCATTAATTATTTATCACATGCCATAATTTATTTTAAAGTTTTTCCTTCTCTTCAATCGAATCGTTGTTCAGCCAAGCCGTCGTCAGCTGAAAACCCCTTCCATCTCTCAAATTTAACTAAATTCAGAATTTTTTTATTGGTTATCCTAAAATTGGTTCGTACTAACTTAATTAACTCTTCTCTTCCGAAAACGTTACCTCCTATCCCCAATAAATTTATTTACTAATGTAGTAAAAATATAATAATAAATATAATAATAATAATAATATCAAAATAATAATAATAATAATAATAATAATAATAAAAAATAATAATAATAATAATAAAGTATATTAAAAATAAAATAACAATAATAATAAAATAATAAAATAATAATAAATAAAGAGAAATAAAAGAATAAAGGAATTGAAATAAACAACGAAAACAAATGTTGCAAAACAATATGCAAACTAATTTATACAAAATGATTATAAAAAAGCGAAAACGCTTCTAAATTTGACAATTGCTTTTTAACATCTGTCATGTGTTTTTTTCACGCCTATGTTCTTGACGACGACTTATTGTTATTCTTACCTCATTATTCTTGATTTATTATCCTAATTGATTATTCTGGTTGTTGTTGTTGATTATATATTATTATTATATATATTATTGCTGAAAAAAAAATTCACTAATACATATATAGACCCTTGGAGTTATGGGGATAAACTATTGGTTAGTAAAATGACCCAAATACTATTAAGTGGGCGTTGTATTAAATCAAGAAATGATAATAATAATAATGCAAAGATAATAATGATAATGCAGTTATAATTATTAACTATAATATGTATATATATGTGTATATTATTATTTTTATTCTTTCTGGAATATTTCATAATTTTCTAGTTTTTCATAACTCATAATTTTTTTATAATTTTTTATAATTTTCCAAATTTTCATAATTTTCATAATTTTCATATAATTTCATGATTTTCATAATTTCGAAATGAGGAATATTTTATGGCACGTATTGTCAATATAATATTAATATAGCAAACTGCATGTAGATAGTAGCAAGATAATAAGATAGGAAATGGAAAGTGCGTTTTTCAGTGATATAGGTGAATTTGAATAAGTGGCGGATAAATAAAATAAAATCTAGAAAAAAATTTTTTTTTTTGTTTCAATCACAATCACGAAAATACCTGTAATAATGTAATAATAACAAATAATAAAACCAGTAATAATAAAATATTATTATTATTAACGTAAATAGCGCGTGAATGTCATTACTTTTCTCCTCACGCATAATTTCCACTTCGGTCTAGTTTTCCTCATTATTATCCTCCTCTTTCGACAAAGTTCTCCTCATTATAATCCTTCCTATTTTATTCACTTTTATATTTAGAAAGTAGTTTAAAAGTATTAATAGAACAACAATAACAATAGAATAAAGACCTTTTTTTTTTTTGACGAATTAAATTTCATGATCTTTGAATTAGACTCGTCTCGTCATCAAAATAATATAATAATTGTTTCGCTCGCATAATTATCTCTCTAATTAATTAATCTTTCTCATAGCCTCAATAACGTAATCCTTAAACAAACAATAACATACTACTGATCTATTGATTTTTATTAATTGATCTCTCTAAATATGATAATCTTTTATCATCAAATTTGATAAAGTTAAATTTGATAAAGTTAATACACAATGTAAATATTATATAAAGTTTAATTGTAAATAAATAATAAAAGAACATTTGATAGGATGACTGAAGGAACAGTTAAAATACCGGTCTATAGACAATAAAAGGATTTCGAACTATTGTGTACAAAGAAAGTTAAATTAAATTGATTTTAACTATTTTTAACTCAGGTGTCAAAAAAAAAATTAACTTTAACGCGCGAAAATTATTATCTATTATATAATAATCTTTTGTTTATTTTCATTTTACTGTATTTGATTAATAATTAATCTTCTTTAACTTTATTGATTTAACATTAATTATTATAATTGATTTGATTGTAATATAACCGTTATCACTTGCATTATTCATTCATTTTGTATTATTGATGTTACTGATAAAATTTTTTTTTTTTTTTTTGACAAAGAAATCAAAAATCAACAATAAACAAAAGGCATATGAAAATAACAAATAATAATATGAATAAACATATGAATTAATGAATTAATATATGAATTAATATTTGAATTAATTATGAATTAATATGAATTAATATATTTATCTATTCTCAAGTAATTGAAAAATAAAATTTTTGACAATTGTATTTAATTTATTTAACTTTGAATTTTTACAATATTAATTTAAATACCTTTTTTATTATTATGCTTACATTATACCAAAAAAAAAGGAAATTCGGGTTCCTTTTCTTTAAAACCTCGAAGCAACATTAAAAATAAGTGTAGAATTCAACGAACCTGAAATAAGAATCTATCAGCTTAGAATTTTTACTTGGAATTAATATATAAAACTTGACTAAAAAAGAAGGTCAGGAAATAGTTAGTTGTTACATATAAAAGATTTTATTTACTTAAAACGCAAATATTAAGTAGCTTTAAAGTAATATACAGCAGCAGCCTTAAGTAGTGATTCGGGCTAAAGGGTTTAGGATGTTTAGGACGTCCAAACTAAAAGGCGAAATATAGAAGGACTTTTTTTCTGTGGGCGATACTTTTATTTACTTCCTTAGGTTTGTGACTACTATCCTGGGTGGTTATTGTAGCAATAAGATTAATAAAATTAAAAGATAGAAAAAATATGAGCATGTTTAAGACGGTTTAGCCTGAATCATTAGCCTTAAGCAATGTTAAAAGCAATATTAAAAGTAATATTAAAGTAAACTTTAAAGCCAGAAAATGAAATACATTACCGGATATACTTAAAATTCTTAAATATACATTTTGAAAGAATGGCGATGAACATTTAAGGTTCAAATTGAAAAAAAAAATGTTTAAAAATCATCTTTAAAGTTAAACTTTATCAATCTAAAACTGATGAAACTTATAATAACTCAGCTCATTATTCGTTTAATTTTTATTCAATAGTTTTAAAATTCTATTAGCGGATATAGTAGATTTTCATCTAAGTAGAGTAGATTTTAATAGATTGATTTTAATAAATTTGAATACTTGAACCTTTTTTTCAAAGTTAAACCTTATTGTATTATAATTAGACAAGACAGTAAAGAAATATACATATAAAAAGTGAAGTTAAATTAAAGTTGTAGATCTTATTTAGTATTTATTCGTTGTACCCACAAATTAGAATTTTGACAATTACCAGGTTAGTGTATAACCTAACACTAATACCTGTACCTGATTCATTTGATTTGATACAGATTTAGAAAATAACTTGAATAAGAAAATTAAAAAGGAAAAGGAATTAAACTTCACATTTTTTTTTGAATTTTAGGCTTGAATATTATAATTTTTTTGGAGAATTTCTTTATCTTCCTTATATTTTTTTTTTTAAAGAAAAAAATTTTTTTTTCCAATTTATTATATTATATATTATATATTATTATTATTATTATTATAACATTATTTATCTCTCCTCCTCAACACATTAAACTTTATTTTTTATCCCTGCATTTAATTTAATTTATATAAAAGGTTATTTTCTAAGCATTTGAAATTACTTGTTTCTATCTTGTCTATAAACTTGAAAAACAAAAATGTAGGCGAATGTTTCTAGTAGCAGTATGAGTGAATGAAGTGAATATTTGAATGTTTAGTTAATTATATTATTAAACTATTATTAAACTATTATTAGCTATATTATCAAACTATTATTAGCTATGTCTGATATTATTAAACTATTATTAATTTAAAATTTGTATAAATAAAATATTACTTATACAAAGATAGCAATATCTGATATATATATACACACACATATAAGTTTTTCTATTAGTAAAGGGTCCATAACCATAAATGAATGAATGGTGTCTTTGTAAATTTTTATTTTATTACATTATCCTCATCAAAGATTGAATAACGAGTTTTTGTTCTTAATAAAGTTCACTGATAACAAATAAGGTAGCAGAGAATGTTATATTATTAATCATAACAATACCTGTTCTTTTTGTCATTATATTTATTTATTATATCTGATTTTTTTTTCTAAGGGAATAAAAAAAAAAAAAGTAAAGCAAATTTAAAAGTGTTATTATTATTTCTTTGATATTTTTCGACACAGCTGTGGTAAAATAATAAGTAAAATGACGAATATTCTCGAGAAATAAGTCAACTGATCAACAAATCGATTAATCATATTACACGTGTAAGTAATGAAAAATCCGCCCCCATGTAAGCTATGTAAATTATGTAAACTCTAGCGATTATGCAAAGAAAAAAAAATAAAGATTTTTTTTTTTTACGATACAAATACATCAACGAACAAAGAATATACAAAAACTTGTTTTTTTTTTTTTAGAAACGAGTGGGAATTTTAAAATGCGAAAAAGTTAATTTAAACTATAAAAGCGAGTTTAAATAATGAGGAATATACAAATAAACTCGTTGATGTACTACGTAATAGCCATAAAAGTCTAAATAGACGATATAAAGTTTAACGTTTATTATTATTTTTTTTTAGGTCAAGATATATATATGAATGTTTATGTTTATGTATGTAGAATAAAAAAGTTATATAATAAAAAGTATAATAAAAAGAATAATAAAAAGGTACGGTAAGTCGTCTTTAGTTACACGGCTTTAATTCCTATCTTTTCCGATCTTTGTTCTATGTTAATAACCACAACAACAAGTTAAACGAAGATCAATAAACTTTATCATGAATAATGAAGAAAAAATGTAACCACGTTCTTTTGTTCACATTACAATATTCCTTTTTAGGAATGAAGCTAAAAGTACTTTTTATGTGAAATAAAGTATTTTCACGAGGTAATAAACTTTAAGATGGTTTGAAAGAGAAAAGGAAAAATAACGAAATAATTTAAAAACGACAATGAATGACAAGTTTACGAAGAAGACATATGTTTTTAAATAAGAGTTGAGGCTGTGAACTAGAACGTATGGAGAAATTTGTTCAACATGTGGGGATGAAAAAAATGTTCAATTGATTTCTCTTTTTTAAAAAAAAAAGAATCATTGTTATTCATTGTTTTATTTGTTTTTTTTTTTTAGATACAAAATTTAAATTTTAAGTTTTAATATATGACAAGATTAATTTTAATATAAATTTTATAATATATTAATGAAAAAAAATCTATTATTGATTCGATATTGATTAATATTTGATTAGATGCTTAGGTCTTTTTTTTAGAAAAAAAATAAACCAAAATTTAATTTAAGAAAATTCATCGAAATTAAATCCAATCATAAAAAACAAATTAATATTTTTTTTTTGTTCTGTTATACTGTATCGACAGGAAGCTTGCATAAAAATAAATTTTAGTTTTTAATATGTTCAAATAAGTCATTAAAAAGTCATGCAATCTCCAAATATAAAAAGAATTCTAAATTACATAAACGGTAATTATTATTTTTTTTTTTTTGTAAAAATACTTTTTTTCGCGCTGGATAATTTCATTGGTGCTGAGATCGTATCACACATGGTCATTCAATAAGCCTAATTATATCTATTATATCTACACTTTAATATTTTGTTAGTTAAATTGTTTATTATTATTGATGATCGACCATTATACCTTATTCGATATATGCATTCTTATAATAAGTAAGCATTTGCAGAAGAGTAATTTCATTGCAGTTCGTAATAATAAATAATAACTGAATAGATTTGAAATAATAATAATTTTACCCTCAAAATCCTTTGATGATGATAATATTGCTGGTGTTGGTAGTGGTGGCGCTTGCAGACATCATCATAACAAAATTAAACATCAAACAATTCAAATAACAATTGTTGATTGGAATTCTTTAATAACAGTAATACAGATAATAATGTAGGAATACAGTAAGTAATTGATGCAATGTTGTTATTACTGGTTATATTTTACAAACAAGAAAGAAAAGAAAGAAGAAAATATATATATAATAACAATAATAAAAATAATAATATTACGAATAGAATTTCCAAACATGGATACGAATAATTGATTGAAAAAAAAAAATATTGCTTTGATAGATGATATTTTTTTTTGATTAAATCCTCGTGTTAGAACCACGTTCTATTTTCTTTAAAAGACAACCTTCTATTCTTCATTTAAAAAATTACCTCGTTTTTTTTTTTAATATAGAAAAATAATAAATATTTATGAAAAAAAAAATTGCAAGAAATTAACAGGTATTTTTTATTTTATTTATTTATTTATAATTTTTTTTTTTAAAAAAAAAAATTTTTTTGATGAATTTTATTTTTATTTCTTTTACTTTTTTATTCAAAATTAGTTTATTCTAACTTTTAAAGGCTAGTCAATGTCTGGCAAGAATATTTTCAAGTTAATTTAAGTTAATTTTGGGACAATAATTTAATTTGACAATTTACAATGATTTACTAACAATTTAACTAATATTTAATTTTAATTAAATTAAATAAATAAATTAATTTTGGTAATTTTCTTTTCTTGAAAAAATAATTCACTTGTTATTTGGTAACAATCACGTGTCATTCAGTGTAGACTATTATATGAATTTCTTTATTTTAATCTTTTTTTATATCTTTATATATATATATATATTATTAAAACTATTTAACCTAAAAACACCTAAAAAATAAATTAAGGAAATTAAAATTATTAAAATTGTTTATTTATGTGATCGGAAACACAGCATAAACACAACATAAACATATAATACATTTGATATAATGGTGTCACATTAAATTATTAAATAGATGTCATATTCATAAATATTCATATTTAATAAAATTCGCAATTCACGTGCACATTAAAATATATTTTGCGTCATAAGCAACGAATTTTTGTGACTTTTTTTGAGTGACTTTTTGAATGGCTTTTGTGTTAAAATTCACACATGATATAAAGTCACACCGATAAAGCACTGATACAGCGTTGATTTTTGTGTAAAATTAGGTTAAAATATTAATATAAATAAAAATAGGTAAAATGTGCACACAATATAAAAAATAAATAAACTTTATGTAGCGAAACGCGAGTTTTATCATTTTACAATAAATTTTATATAAATTTTCTTTTTCCTTTTTTTTTAAAAAAAATAAAAAAAAATAAAAAAAAATAAAATAAAATAAAATAAAATAAAATAAAATAAAATACCTGGGTATATTTAATTCCAAAGAATATATGTGTGTACTGAATTTTTTATTTTTGGGGTTGGTCATCAACAAATAAACCATATAATGTTTTTTAACACCGGGGAAAATATATTCCATCCCAACCTTTATTAACTATATTAGGTACAGTACGTTTATCTGATAAATAAACTTATAATATGGCAATATATCAAATAATATTTAAGATTATACAGTTTATATTATTTATACCCTCGAAAATTAGACTTTTGTCGGAATATCTTTTCCTCGTTAATTCTTAAATTCTTAGAATTCCCATTCATGTTTTTTCTTTGTTTTTCATATTTATTATTTATTTATATGATACAAAGCCTTCTTTTTCGGTTATATACAAAATAAATTGTGTATCAAAATAGATTAATTCGATTTAAAATATAATTTAAATATAATAATCTATTAAAAAGATCACTTTGAAACAATCTACATTCAAACAATAAAATCCCTTTTAAACAATCTCATTTAAAAAATAATTTAACCAAAAATGTATATACGTTCTTTTCTTTCTAAAAGGTTGATATTATCATTTGATTAAACGTTATTATTATAATTGGTGTTCATTAAATATTTCTTAAAATTTTTGTAGCATTGTAGCGTAATTTTTATAAATTATTATAAGTTCGATTACAAGATATAAAGGAATGGATATATATAGTATATGGGCAAACTCACATGTTTCGCATTGAAATTTATATATCTATTTTTGTTTAAATGATTTTTTCGTATTGGTAAAATGGATAAAACGCTGTTTACACGCGCGTCTTTTTTAATCCGATATTTGACGTGAAATAATTCTAAAACAATTACAAATATACTTTAAGTAAATTTAAGGAATAAACAAAAATAAGTTTCAATAAAATTTGTTAAATATATTTCTTTAAAATATATATTTTATTATATTTTTTAAATGTAATATCACGTGATGCGTTAGAATTTTTCTTCATTTACTCAATTAAATTTTTTTTTATAGATTTTAATAAAATCACTATAATTATGGAATAACTTGAAATACTTTGGAATAATCATGTTCTTTTGAGAGTAAGGATTTTTTTTTTAATAAAAAAATAAAATCGCGTCATTCTCCAAGAAAAATTTAATATTTTTCCGATTACATCACTTGAATACTTTTTTGGTGCACGCGCCATAAAATATAATGAAATAATGATTAATAATAATACAATAATAACAATAATAATAATAATGCAACGTATTATAACAATAATGCACCACATAACAATAAAACAATAATGAAGTATATATAATAATGCAATATACTGTATGTAATGTACTATATATGTAATAATATGTAACTACACGTGATGGACTCGCTATAAATAAAAAAACCAGTTCTAAAGAAGTAATTTGAAATTTAGTTTTAGAAGTAATTGCAGGTGGAGAATGTATGACAAAAAATTTTATTTAGATTTATTTAGTTTTTTTTTTTTTTTTATTTAGTTTATTTATTTGATTCATTTGGTTCATTCGACGTATATGTGTTTGGAAAAAAAATAAAATAATAATAAATTTCAGGGATCAACTCTAAGCACACTTACACAACGATGAATGAAGCAACCGTTATGAATGAATATAAATTTGGATTATCAAGTGTACAACTTGAATTATAAAATAAAAAAGGCCGATATCTTTTCTCCTGAATATATATTTATTACATCACGAGACATTGATGACGAATAAAATTGTTATTATTTAATATCTATATATTAGAAATCAGGTGCACTACAGGAATGTAGATTGATCTGTCTATGGAATGTTGGATTCAATATCTGATATATATTATATATGGTATATTGAATATAATGGAATTATATACAATATCTATATAATATATTTTATTCCTTTAACAAATCAAATATTCCTTTATACAATATTTCTTTATAAAGTAAATATTTCTTTATACAGTAATAACATTGAAAAAAAATATGTATAAAAAGATAATTATTTGTTAAGTTTTATTGAATAACCTGTTTTGTTATGATATCACATGTTTCTGATTCTTTTTTTTTTTAAAAAAAAATCTTTAAATTTGTAATTTTTTAAGTTAGGGATTGAAAATTTTTTATTTAAGTCATATCGCAAAAAAAAAATATTCAAATTCATACAAGACACAGAGCACATCAGATTCTTAAATAATAATAATAATAATAAGTCGTCTCCTGTAAAATAATAATAATAATAAGTCGTCTCCTGTAAAATAATAATAATAATAATTCTCAACAAAGACAACAAAGAGAATTAGCTGAATGAAAAAAGAAAAACAATAATGATTCTTCTTGGTATCACAGTTATAAATTTATTCTCATCTTCTTAATTTCTGTGATACTACCTATAGTTTTTGACCTTGTTCAAATTATTAAATTTGATTTGTGAAAAAATTAACACGAGCAGCAAATACATCTTTCAAAAAAAAAAAAATACAAATAAAAATAAAAGAAAAAAAAGAAAAAAATTTCGCTACAATAATAATAATAATAATAATAATAATAATAAAATAATAATTAAATAATAAATAATAATAAACAATAAATACTAATAAAATAAATAATAAAAGAATTATTTGGAAATAAACGCATTTGTTCTTAATTTTAATAATTTGAATTCATAAAGCACGGACGCATATGACTAAACCTCTCTTGAAAGAGAAAAAGTGCGTGCACGTATATACTGTACATTGAACACATCAAATCGGAGAAGCCGTTACAAGATTATATAAGATTTTTTTATTTTTCTATTCAAATATCTATCTAATTAATTCAAAAGTAAAAAATATATATAGAGTAATTTAAAAAGTAATAATAATAATAAAAGAGGTAATATATAAAAGTAGAGAGAAAAAAAAAAATCAGATTATCCCAATGAGATTCAATTTTTTTTTCAACAATGATACACAAAAGAAAGTTACGACGAAACCTGTTTTCATAAAAAAAAAAATTGTTATCAATCTTTAAATGTATAAATATAACATAAATATAATATAATATACATATATATATATGTATATATGCATATATCAAAAATATATTTAATTTATAGAATTTATAGGCGATATTTATATATAATTTTTTTTTTTTTGTAGAAAATCATACTATTATCTAAAATATCTGTCGTTCGTAGAATAGTCGTACAAATTTTTTACGCCATATAAATATGTTTTACCATTTTTATCAATTACATATTCGAATGGTATCAAATCATATCAAATTATATCAACTATGCACTTGCATCTTGGGAGATCTTTATTCAAAAAAGAGAGAGAAAATACTTTAGAATACTTCGGAATAAGGATATTATGAGAATACAATACATATTAATGGTATACCAGTAGTTAGATAGATTTCCTCTCACACCCCCCAATATTTTTTTTTGGAAAACTAGTTTTTTTTTTTTTTTTTAGATCCATTCATTTATTTTTTCATTTATATAAATTTGTCGCACGACTTTATACCACGTTTAATTATTATATTAATTATAATTAAAATTATGTCCACCATTATAATTAATTATTAATTACTGAATACTGGGTTGGTAAAGTTGTACAAATCACATGAATCACGCGGTACACCAAATTTAATAAAATAAAATTCATATTTTTTGATGAATTTTTTATTTTTTTTATTTGAAATATATACAATTACAATGAAGAAGTAAAATAAGAAAAAATAAAATGAATCAATTTAATACGCGTATTTATTATTAATGAAAATTAATAATAACACGTAAATTAAATTGTTCAATAAAATTAAAATTTTTTTTGTTTGTTATATTCCCTCCTCCAAGAGAAAAAAATAACCAAATTGCATTAATCATTATTATCCTTTTTGTCTCGCTGATTTTTCTATATATATATATATTATGTATGTGTGTATATATATATATATATTGATTGTATTCCCAACATACTTTTAAACCTCAAGAAAAAAAACCATCCAATAATTAATAAAAAAAGTTTAGTAAAAAAAAAATTAATAAAATTCAACATTCTATTTACATTTAAAAAAAATCCGATTTTCCTTTTTTTTTCTTTTTATTTATATTCTCTTTTTTTTTTTTTTTGAGTTGTCCAGCTTTTCTCTTTTTTTTCGCCAACCCAGTGGCGCCACTCGCGTAAAAAAAAATAACTAAATTAAACAAATTAAAACACCACGGTGTTTTTTTGATTGATTGCAAGTGAAAAATAAAAAAAAAATTAATAAAAAAATAAAAAAGGATTTGAAAAAAAAAATCCCCAGACTAAAATTAAACCCGAAAAAAAAAGAAGTAATGAAGCTATTGAATAATTCATGGCCATATTATTTACAACTCGGTGCTTTTTTTTTTTTTTTTTTGAAAAATGAAAATATTGGTATTATATAAAAATGTATGTATCTAAAATTTCACAAATCTTTTTCACTAATATAACAAAACCTCTCTCTACAGCTAATTTCAATTAAAAAATACAAGGAAAAATTTTTTAAAGGGTTGTAAAAATATATAAATCGGCCACTTATTATTATTATTTTTGAATAGTTTTCTAATATCAAAAAAAAAAATAATAAACAATTGTTTTGATTATTCGGGTCAAAAAAAAAAAAAGCTCGATAAGAGATAGATATATCATCAAGAACGGAGTAAATTTGGACGATAAAAGAATCCTGAGGATAAAAGCAAAAGCAAAAGCAATCTGAGGATAAAAAAAAAATTCTGATGATAAAATGTCCAAGCAATGATGAAAAAATCTCTGATGATGATGAAAAGTTGATGATGAAAGTTGATGATGATGAAAAAAGTTTTGATGATGAGATGATGAAAGAAGAAAAAAAAAATTGATGGAAAAAAAAATTTAAAATTTTGATGATGAAAAAATTATGGAAATTATGGAAAATGGTTAAATGAAAATTTTTTTTGAAATATTTGAAAATGTTTTTGCTGCATTCTTTAAATTCCCCAATCATATAATTTCGAAATAGCATGTTTTTGACGAAAAATTGCATTCATTCTATTAAATAAGAAACAAAAAATACGCGTTTAATTAATGAAAATATAATTTTAAAGCAACAAATTATACATAAAACTAACATAAAGAAACATATTTAAATACCTTCTTTCCTTATCTAATTCAGTAGTCAAATATGTAACAGTTTGAGTTAAACGATTAATTTCATCAAGAAGGAAGTTTTCTTTCCTTGACGTGTTTTTAAGATGTGATACAGCTAATAAATAATAAAATCATTTATAAAATCGCGATATACGAAATTTAGATAGATAGATTAGATGGATATATATAGGTCAGATTTATCTCCAATTATTTTATGTTTTCAAAGCGCGTTCATTTAATTAATTAGATATATACCTTTCTGTAATAGAACTGCTTTACTCATTTTTCGTCCCGTATAACTAGTGGGAAGATGTCTTCGAAGTTCTTCAAATCCATCTTTTATTTCAGCTCGTCGCTTTTGCTCTGATTGAATATGTATTTGACGTCTGAACTCAGCATGTGACATTGTACTATTATTTGAAATAGTAGTGAAAAGTCAGTTTTGATTGATTGACTTTATGATGAGTTGTTACACTTGTTATACTCATTATGCTTATTATATGCTTATTATTATGCTTATTATTATGCTTTTTTATGCTTATTATTAATCAATAAACTTGTATCATATTAAATATTATATTTACCTGCTGGCATCACCATCATTATCAGCTTCATCCATAGATGATATTTCGAAATTATCCTCTCGTGAAGATTTTCTTCGTCTTTTACATCCGATCTTTTGACTTTCATATTTTTCCTTACTATATTGAAAAAATTCGGGAATATCCAACTCATCGGCTGTTGGAGAATCGCGATATTCAAGAGGTGATGATGGAGCAGGAGAGATTATTTGAGATACTTGTGATGCTTGAGAGTGATCCATCGTAAACATATTTAGTGGTAGATTTGACATATTTGTTATATTGGGCATGCTAGGTACGTTAGGTACGATTGGTACATTTGTAACGTTCGGAACGTTGGGAATGGTTACTACGTTTTGTTGCACGTTTTGCAGGTTTTGCATATTTGGTACATTTTGTGGTGGTGTCATTGATAAAGGAATGGTTGTAACTCCAGTGTGACAAGTGAAGGTGAAATCTATTGAAAAGAAAATTTATTTTCATTAATATGATTATATGATAAAAAAAAAAAAAATTATATGCTTGATAAACCAATATCTATCTATATCTATATATCTATTTATATATCTATTCAAAATAATAAATTTGAAAAAGCAAATAATAAAACTTTTTTATTTTTTTTCTCAGAAAAATAATATTCTTTCGCTTATATAGTAAGTTCACGTTGACTTTCACGTAAAATTGAAAAAAGTGCGCGTTTTTTTTTTTCTTTCTTTATGAGACCAATATACAATTTGGATTTAATACCTGAATTCAGAACCACGGGGTTCTGGACTACAGCTTCGGGAGGAAAGACAAAACTCGAATTTAAATGATGGCTTTGCATTATTATTATGATTTTTCAAAGATATTTTGTCGTGAAGAAAGAGTTTTTTTGTGGGGAGGAAAAACGAGGACAAAGAATTTATATATAAAAAATTTCTGTGGTGATTATATAATAATAATAATAATTAAAGTGAGCAGAAATTAAATAGAATAGAAAAATATTCTATAAGTAAAATATATAAAGTAATGTAAAAATTAATTAGGGAATGATTTTTTTCTATAGGTCAAGTAAGCCGACGTTTTTTTTTTTTTTTAGTTTTGTCTGGAGAAAGAAAAACTGATGGGTACCTATTTATCAAAAATCCAAATGACAGAGGTGTAACAGGTAACACAACGTTCTAAAGTAATGGGAGGGTTAAGTTCTCAAAAATATTTTAAATCTCTAATAAATAATCCAGTTTTGCGACTTCCATATACATTATTTATTATTGTATAATAAAATAGAATACTTTAAAATATTTGTTTATGTTACGTTATAGAGTTTTGCTAATTATAAAGTAATTAATATTTATTTACTAATAATAATATAAATTTTAAGCGAATTAATAAATAATAGATTTATGATTTTCAATTTTAAAATATTTATTATGAGTAAAAAAAAAACCAGTACAAAAATATACAATCTAAAGTATTTTTATATACAGTATGTTATTAAGTATTATTTTTTAGAAAATATCGATGCATCGTATCGCTTTCCACGCACCAATATATTACATAGTATAAAGTACTATATTTAAAGTACTTGTTATCTTGATAATAAAAAAAAAAATCTGTGTATTTTTTTTTACCAGAGTCTTTTCGATAAAGGGGCATTTTTTTTTTTTTTTAAAAAAAAAAAAAAAACAGATAAACAAATTCAACCATGTGCTCTGCATTTTTTCTCATCTATTCATAATTATTACAAATAATTATTGTCGGGATGAATAAAAATTGGTTTAAAGTAGGTTAAAATATTTACCATACCATGTGATAAGCTGTATAGATGTATATTTAATATATATTACACTATTTTATTATTAAACTACATATATTTTAATATTATACACTGTATTTATATTTTTATGTTGTGATAACGAAAAAAATTTTTTTTTTTTTTTACACTAAATACATTGATATTTGGATATTTGGATATTTTGTTTACAGTTACCAGCCACCAAAATTTTATTATAATTAGAATTTCTGTCAATTAATTGTCATCAGTGCTTTACTGCTTTGCAAAAAAAAAAAAAATTAAAATAAATAAATTACCTCTCGAAAATTAAAGAATTCTTTCATGTATGTCAATTATTAAATTTCCTTTGGAGGTTAGCGTCAAATATATTAACAATTGCTTCTTCAAGGGTCAAAAAAAAATCATATGGTTAATTAAAAATGGATAAAGAAATTGACGATCCGATCAAAGTTTTTTCTTTTAGACTTTTGATTCGTTATTCATTATATTTTCTAAAGTTCACCTTAAAATGGTAACACCAAGTCAGAAAATAAAGCCTACCAAATTAAGATTGTCTATTTATTAACCGCGTATCGGTGTGATATCGATATGGTATAATTTTCTCTATTCTACTCTTCTCTCCTTCTATTATATGTTATCGTCTCCTATGTTATCTCTGTTGTCTTATGTTATCTCTGTTGTCTTATGTTATCTCTGTTGTCTTATGTTATCTCTGTTGTTTTATGTTATCTCTGTTGTCTTATGTTATCTCTGTTGTCTTATGTTGTCTCTTATGTAGTCTTTAATATAGAACTTTAATGTAGAATCTATACAAAAAAAGAAATTAGGTTTATCTTTTTTTGGTATAGATGATTGATTTCATATTCATACCTCTGGAGTGGCTTTGAATCATTCATATTTCCTTATCGGTTATCGGAAAGTATTTTACTACTATTACCACTCTCGGATTATAACAATCATTATTATATCAAATTAGATTTAGTTACATTTGTTCCAAATTTATTAAACAAAGAGATGCATAAACTAGGTGAATCTCTCAGTATTATTTTTTGTTCTGAATATGGTTAAGATTTAATTTAAGTTTCGAATGAATGAATGACAGACAAAACCTTTGATCATTAAATGAATGAAGATGAAGCACATTATGCATAATATCAATATTGTTCGTTAATGATAATAACATGAAAAAAAAGGCACGCACGAAAATTTAATTAATTATTCTTTTTATAATTTTAAGAATTTTGCATTGCATTAAATTAATTTATATTATTAGAGTTCAAAGCGCGTATCTTCACGCGAATTTTAATTTTGATGTTGGCGCTTGTACTATGAACCATTAAATCCACCTGTGTAACCTCAGTAAACTCAGCCAGTTTAATAAATCGCGTTCAAAAATATCATATTTGAATGCCTCGAGTAAATTACAAAATGCATTATAAAAAATTGTTTTTAGTTAATTTAAACAATATATATCCCTTTGTTTCCATTGTTTCTTTGTCTCGATTATACTTGCTTCCGATAGTATGCGAAAGCCCCTTAAAATTTTTAGTTCCACAATAAAAAAAATCTTTATTAATTTTTTTTTTTTCAAAATAAAGTAAATCACAGTACGGGGTTAACTGATAAATATAATATAAATTAGTTTAGATGATGATGATGATGGATGGATTACGGTTTTTCGGTAATAAATTTTGGTAATCCATCTAAACAATCAATGTTATTGAACGTGAAAAGCTGCAAATCCATTATTATCCGTTATTATTCTGTTACTATTCAAACTCACGCGAATTATCTGTAAAAATTCTAATTTTTATCAAACAATAAACTTTATTATTATTAAGAAAAAAAATAAACAAATAAATAAATGCATATTAGTTTTCTTTTTAATTGTTTTATTAATTAGGAATTTAATATCAAAATGCTAAAAATGATAACAATAAGATTTATAAATTCAAACAAGTTAACAACGATATACGTATTGTTAAAAAATAAACATAAATAAATAAAGTGTGTAAAAGTTTAATAAAGTATTAATGAAGTATTATTATTATTGAAAGTATCATAAAGCCGTAAAGTCAAAAAATATATATATATATATAATTATAATTTTGCTTTCCTAATCAAGTGAAGCACAAATAAATTGAAATGATGATTAATTGATGATAATAATAGTAATAACAACAACTTTAATTAATTATTCATTCGTTACTGCATATGAAAAGTTTTTAATAAACTATTAAAAATGACATTACGTTATTGTTGTTTTAAGGTTAGACACAAGACGCGTCGATTGTAAAATATTGTCAACCCCTTTTTATTATTATTGGAAAGTGAATGGAAAGAATGATAAAATGCTTGAATCTTAAATTTATCGAGAATTATTATTATTATTATTATTATAGAAAATTTAATTGTTCATTATTCTCTTGGATTTATTATTCAATAAATTTTGATTCTTTTTGTCAATAGATTTCATCTTGACTTCAAGATTACGTAATAAGATTTTAACGTTTTAACTCTGGTAACATTTGACAAAAAAGGTAATTTTTGAGTCACGTTATGATACACAAAATGTTTTCAAAAGAGCTTAGTAAATAAATACAACACGTGCCATTGTTCTCGACAAAGTTGATTGCGATTTTCTTTTTTTAGTGTAAAACAGTACTTTCTTGTAATAACATTTTAAGGAGATGGTCGATATCGCAAAATACGAGGTAAGCTTTCTTCCTTGAATTCATTTCTTCTCTATTGGGACCTCTTTTTTTTATGTTTTTTTTTTGTATTTAGACCAACTAATTGCCGATTGTAATTTTCGAGATAAGTAATTATTGTTCCGAGAAATAAATCTTTAACTTTAAACGATAAAAAATTATTTACACCATAAAAAATAAGGAATTATAAAGTCAAAAGAATGCAAAAAATTTATTTTTTATCCATATATGTTTCACTGGATAATAAATTTTTTGAGGTCCCAATTCGATCTTTACCTTTTCATTTTATGTTTTTTACCAATATAATTAAATATCTTTTTTATATAGAAAGCTCTTAAATCCGTGGATCAATTCTTAGTGAAAGATCTTATTGCGACTAATAGAGCGTTAAATTCTTTTCAGTCAGCAAGTCTACGCACATCAATTGCAAAAAAAATTGAACTTCGTAATTTATTAGTTAAATATATGAATATAGTTAAACAAAGTAATAATTATAGGAAAATCAATGAAATGTCTGATATCGTATTAAGCAAAGGTTCAGGTCTTGAACAACAATCCAGGTAATAAATAACATTTTTAGCTTTACTTGGATGAGATTACTATTCGCGTATAATTTCTCTTTCTTTAATAAATGAAAAGAAAAAGTAATAATGAATAATGGATGGGAACTTTGAATACATCAGTCATTATCAAAAATTGTTATCAGAATCACGAGATCATATTTTATACTCATTTTGGTATACATATTAGTTCAAATCGTAGGCATCTTTTATCAAATTCTTCATCATCGACTATGCGAAACGATTTAAATCGCGGTTCCGGAATGACACATGACGGAGCAAGAAATATTCAATTCAAGAGTTCACCTTTTTATAGCATTACAGAAAAAATTTCAGAATCAAAATTGTTAACAGGTAAAAAATTAATAATTTTTAATTTCAATTTCAATCATTTCAATCATTTCAATCATTTCAATCATAATTTATTATTATAAATGATTAATAATAACTCTTTTTTTTTAAATTATTATTAGCGGTAGCTGAAGGTACTAGAAATACTGCATATATTAACTTTCGTTTAACTGAAGATCAAGTACAAAAAATCTTACAATCGAGGTTAGAAAATATATTTCCATATCTCCAAACAACAACAGCAACAACAATAATATATTTTCCCATCTCTCCATTTTCTTATCTATATGTTTTTCCATCTCTTCGTTATATATATTTCTAATCTTAGATAATAATAACAATCATTTATTTTTATAGGAATGGTAATAATAAAACTCTTCAAATCAGATTATTTAGTTGTGCCGAAACAAATTCACAAAGTCCATGTTTAATCGAATTTCCTCAAATGTGTGAAATTCATGTCAATGATGAAACATTGATTGCAGTATGTTTTATTTTATCTCCTAAATTAATTAATTTATTTCTTACCTAATTTATTAATTATAATTATTATTTTCTTTATATCTAACAAATATAATAGAACACTCGAGGAATTAAAAAGATGATAGGATCAGTACATCCAATTGATGTAACAGTTCTCTGTAAAATTAGTTCCAATCATGAAAATAGGATTAAATTTATATATGCGAATACGGCAAAGGTAAAAAAATTAATTATCATCGTTATTATTATTATTATTATAAGATTTTTTTTTACCAATATTTTTACGTAATCATTTAATTTTCACCCTCATTCTCCGTTGTTTCATAATATATATATATTTTTATCATCATAATTTAATAATAATATATAATAATAATAATAATAATAATAATAATAATAATAATAATAATAATTTTCATCAAAATTTTTCATAATAATTTTTTTCATAATAATTCATAATATATTTTTTTTAGCGATATCTTATTTTACTTCAATTAGTAGAGAAAGTGTCGGTTGAAAGTATAGTGGAAAAAGTAAAAAATGGGAGATTTGTATCTAAAGAGGAAGTTTTGCGAAATTGTATATGTTGAATTTTGATATTCATTATATTCATTATTTAAAATATATTCATGATACATTTAAATATTCTTAATGAATTTTTTTTTTTTATGAATTCTTTAGGGCGTCATTCAGCAGAAGATGATATAGTTCTCGGATCAAGTACTATCTCACTTAAAGATCCTGTAAGTTAAATTCAATAGAAATTTTAAAATAAATAAATAAATAAATAATAATAATAATAATAATAATAACAGGTTATATAATTAATCAAATTATCTTTTAGTTAGGATATACAAGGATCAAGATACCCTGTAAATCTTCACGATGTTCTCATATTCAATGTTTTGATGCGTATCTCTTTTTCCAAATGAATGAACAAGTTCCTACATGGACATGTCCTGTATGTAATTCTATAATTGATTCTTGGGAAGATATTGTAGTAGATGGGTAAGATTAATTCTTTTATTTTTATTTTATTATTTTATTATTTTTATTATTTTTATTTTATTTTATTATTTTATTATTTTTATTATTTTTATTATTTACTCTACTATTTTCTTTATCATTTCTTTACGATTTTTTCTATTATCATTTTTCCCTATTATTATTCTTTATCATTTTTCTTCTTTATTTTCTTTATTATTTTCTTTATTAACTTTTTTTTGTTAGGTATTTTACGGATATACTAAAAAATACACCAGAAGATCAAGATAGCGTTTCTATAGATCCTAATGGCATATGGCATATTCCGATGAAACGAGTTACAGAAGAGAAAAAATTTTATCCAGTAGTTAAAAAATCACGAATAGATTTTTCAAAACATGATGTATTTATTATAGATTCATCCGAAGACGAAGAACCTGTTAAACAAAAAAAATACAAAAAAATTTATGAAGATAATAAAGAAATTATCGATCTCACATGTAGCGATGAAGAAGAACCTTCTCATACCTTCAAGAACAACAACAACCACCATAATAAAGATAATAGTAGAAATAAAGGTACCCTTCCTGTCGATTTTCATGTTAAAATGGAAGATAAACAGGAAATTCTAGATATCGTAAGACCTCTAAATGTAGAGTATTCTTCCACCCCTATTTCTTTACATTCTTCGTTTTCTTCGCTTTCTTCGCATTCTCCGCATTCTTCTTCACATTCTCCATATGGATCAAATACCACCACCACTGCCACTACCCCTACCGCTACCACTTTTAATAATAACAATAATAATAATAATAATAATAATAATATAACAATTTCACCATATTATGGTCAATATGAAATGTCATCATCAGCTGTTGGTGTTTCCCCATCATTTTATTATGATAATCCTGAAACCTCTTATTCCCATGGTTCTTTAGGGGGAGATTACGAATATTACATGAAAGATTTCGAAGGATATTCCTAATGATAATAATAGATCAAGTAAATGATAAAAAATAATAGATGGTAAGTGAAAATAAATAAGTGACGATTGATGTTAATAATGTTTTAAAAGAGATTAATTGTAATTAATTATATTTGTAGTGAGAAAAAAACATCGTCATAGATTATTTGTACAGGAAATTATTGACAATTTTTATATGAACAAAAAAAAAAATAAATAAGAGAGAGATATATATATAAATATATTTATAAAATGAATTATAAGTAAGAGAAAAAATTTTTATTCCTTTGTTTCTTGCTTAATATATAATTCAGAATCCAAATAAAATTACTTATCAGAAATCCAAGTATTTTTTTTTTTTTTTTTAGTTTTGAAACTTAACCTTCCCTCCCTTTTTTTTTTACTACTGGTTAACTTTCTTCTTACTATTAGTTGTTATTTTCTTTCTACTACATAGTTAGAATTCTTTTTTTTACTAGTTTGATCTTTTTCTCTATCTTTACCCTTCAGGTCATCCTTCTAGTACTAATTATTCATTGAAAAAAGATAGATGACTTTTTGTAAATTTTTGTTTGAAATAATAAAGAAATCATTTTTTTTCAAATTATTTATTATCATCTATACTTTTATTTTATTGTATTGAATTTTTTCAATTTACGCAATTTTATTGATTATAGAAAAAATATACAGTATATTGATATAAATCAAAATCTCAAATCTCATATATAAATATATAAACTAAAATACGCGTAAATATATGTACACTTATCAAATGAAATATTTACAAGAAAATAAAAAAAATATTAAATATTTAAAATCTTTATCCATTTTTATAACTGACTTCCAATTTATACTTCAAATGATCTCCTGCTGTCATTTTCGTTCTAGTCTTCTTTCCATAACTCTCTTCTCCTATTTTATTCCAAATTCTGATATCTTCTTCAAATTCATCAATAATTTGACTTGGAATTGGATCTAAACTAATACCATCTTCCGCATGACAAAAATATGCAATACTATACCTATCATAATTACTATAATTACTATTATTATTATTATTATTATTATTATTATTATTATTATTATTATTATTTAAAGATGGTATATCTTTACTAGTTCGAAATACCACTCGATGTATGGTTGATTTAAACAATCCTTTACTCCAAAATTCAAGTAAATCTGCAATATTAATTAATAAACAATTCGAAATAACTGGAGCTGAAATCCATTGTGGTGTTGAATTATTATAATTAGATAAAATTTCTAATCCACCAATATCTTTTTGAAATAAAATAGTTAATGATCCATAATCTGAGTGACTACCAGCTCTAATAATCTCCTCCTCTTCCTCCTTCCCTTTATTTATATCATTTTCATTATTTATTATAATTGGATAATGAAGAATTCGAAGTGTATCACCAGATTCTGCTTCATATCTATGCCTATTCTCAAACCAATATTTTCCTCCAGAATTTTGAGGAATTTTTAAAGCTATTGCAAAGGATTGTAAAATCTTCATACATAATGAATGACATGCCTATATATTATATACACATATAGATATATTTATTATATATTTGAAATTTATTCAAATTTTGATTGATTGATTGATTGATTGATTGATTAAAAATTAAATTCTAAAAATTTAAACATAAAGAAAAAAAATATTTACCTTTGAAAATGATTCCAAAATTATGATGCTATCTTTAAATAATTGTGGAAGTTCTTGACTTGCTTTACCATTATGAATTTTGCCAAAATTGAATATTCTACGATAAAAAAAAATAATAATAATATGAATAATATGAATAAATAATTAATTAAAAAAAGATATTACATATTTATAAAGAAATCATAGTATGTCATATATATGTACTCTTTAAAATCTCCATTATATTGTTTCTTTGTGTCAAGTTTCTCTTTATATATAGAACTATATCCTTTGAAATCTTTCATATTGTATTTTAATTTTTCTTCTTGTGAAAGATTGAAATAACTTTCAGACTTTTATTATTAAAAATTATAAACGATCAATTTTTTTTTTTTCAAATACATTCTTATACAAATTACAAAAAAAAAAATAAAAATCAAAAATAAAAAATCGAAAAATAAAAAGTGAAAAAGTGGATAAATTACTTTCTCAAACATTTCATCAATTAACTCTTGCTTAATCCCATGATTCTTTAAATAAAAGAATCCAACTGTTTTACTGGCTTCTTTAATTTGTTCTGAACAAATTATTGGATTCTCTTCAAATAATGAAAAATCAATGATTGGTATTGACATTTTTAAATGATGACTATTAATTATTATTACTTACATGTATTATTATATTATTATGCTGCAAATCGGGGTTATATATAGTAATTATGACTGATGCATTGGTCGATCCGTCTATCAGTTTTTGTTATAAGAAAATAATTTTATTAAGTTTTTTTTTGATTTTTATTATTTTTATTGATTAGAGAGAAAAAAAAAATAATATCACTCAAGAAAAAAAAAAACAGATAAAATGTCGAAAACCCTAAGAACACGTAGCGCAATGAAGGAATTTGAAAGAAGGATGAAAAAATCAACTAGAAAAAACGCGATAAGTGTTGATTTTCCTACACTCCCTGAACGCGATCCAGGTCATATTGTTGTCATGGGAAATAATGATTTTGGTCAACTTGGTACTTTTAACTTAGAAGAAGTTGACGAAGAAGAAGAAGAAGAAGAAGATAAAGAAATTAAGGTTCCAACACTTAATCCAATTTTTGATGATAAAAAAATAACTAAAATAAGTAGTGGAAATTTACATTGTGCGGCTCTTACACGTGATGGTAAAGTTTATACTTGGGGTTGTAATGATCATGGATCACTTGGTCGAGAAACTACTGATAATGAAGCAATTCCATTAATTGCACAAGGTCTTGATGGAGAAAAAATTGTTAAATTATTTTGTGGTGGAAATATTACATTAGCTATTTCTACTAAAGGTTATCTATATATGGCAGGAACATTTAAAGGTCAATCAGGAGTTTTAGGATTTGAAGCTAAAGAAAAATCTCCTACTCAACAAACAACTTTTGTTCGATATAAACCTGCTGATGAATTTGTAGTTGTAGATGTTTGTGCTGGTACAGATCACGCTGTTTTACTTACAATTGAAGGTTATGTTTATTGTTGGGGAAGTGGTGAAGCTTTTCAACTTGGAAGAAAAGTCTCTGAACGTCACGCTACTTCAGGACTTTATCTTAATAGACTTAACTTATTTGGAATTGAAAAAATATTTGCAGGATCTTTTCATAGTTTTGCGATTCGAAAAGATGGTACAATATTTTCTTGGGGATTAAATAATTTTGGTCAATGTGGATTTAATCCCAAAGATAATTTTATTGTTCAACCCAAAGCTATAGAGTTCTTTAATGATAAAAAAGTTAAATCAATTGCAGCTGGATTTCATCACACTTTTGTATTATTAGAAGATGGTCGAATTTATAGTTTTGGTAGAGCTGATTATGGTCAATTAGGTTTAGGAAAATTAAAAGATTCACATATAACAGAACCTACTTTAGTACAAATCCCATTTAAAAATGGTATAAAAAATTTAGATAGTCAAGATGTTGATAGAATGGATATTGATGATGATGATGATGATGAGGGTAAAAATCCGTTATTATGCAAACTTATTGCTACCGGAGATCATCATACTATCCTTCTTGGAAAAGATGGATCTTTATATACTTGTGGTTTTGGGGATAGTGGTGCATTGGGAAATAAAAAACCGGGAGATGATGACGAAGATGATTGGGATGAATTTATTCCATATAAAGTTACCGGTAAAGAATTAGAAAATCGTCAAATATTAGAGATTGCAGGTGGTTCTCAACATACAATCCTTCTTACTACTTAAAAAGAAAAAAATATATTTATATATTTTTAATTTTTTTTTTTTTTTGAGATTGGGATCTGTATTTTATTATTTTATGGTGACAATTATTTCAATTATATCAAAATCTTGCAGAAAAATATGAACTTTTTTAGAAACATTTAAAAATATTTTAGCCTTCTTCGTAAATATTTTTTTTATGTATTCAATTTTGCTATATTATTCAAGATTTATTATTTTTTTTTTTTAGAATATACATTTTTTTTTTCAATATACCAACAAGTTGGATGTACGAATAAAGAAAATTTAGATTTAGATATTTAATTTCAATTATTATAGATTTTAAATTCTTTTTTTGCCAAAAAACATTTGAAAAAAATAGAACAATTTTTTTTTTAAATAAACAAAATCTTTTTGTGTTTTGCACGTGGAAAGATGTAATTTGTGTACATGGAAGTGATATGAAATGATCTAAAACATTAAAACACAGCATTATATTTTTGCATCGCTAATTTTATGATTAATTCAAACTTTAAGGATTAAGTAATTATTAATTCATGGGACTTTTTTTTTTTTTTTTGTGTGATGTATCATGCGATTGACTCCTAAATCTCGGGATTAAAAAAGATGTAATGACATTCGTTATTCTCTTAATGTCGATGATACAAAAATTACTAAATAAAATGTCAATTTTTTTTTAAAAAAAAAATCTATATAAATATTCATTATAAATAACTATTATGAATTCTTTTTAAATAATAGTTTTTAATAAAAGTTTTTTTTTAAAAAAAAAAAAAAATGAATGGAAAAAAAAAATTTGTTAATGTTGTAATTTCAGATGAAGGTTTTACAGTTACCAACTCTGATGCGGATTCGTCAATGTGGCCAGATACTACACCAAATATTAATCCTGAAGGCGTACGAGTTTATTATCGGCCAGTTGATTCTAATGAACCTAAGGGACGACATTATTTAGCAAAATTAGGTGAAACTTTAGCCTATGCATTGCGTAAAACAACACTCAACTTACGAATTCCTAAACGTACGTAAAAAATTGAAAAAAAAAATCGACACGCTAAAAAAAAAAAAAAAAAAATTAAAAATAAATAATTGGTATTTTTTTTTTTGAAAGCGGTGTTGAAATCTTTTCCGCAAGGATATAAATTATTTGAGCGAATCAGGGAAAACCAAAATAATTTGCCGGCTCGAAAAGATACTTATCTATTTGGTAAGAATTAATGGAAAATAAGAAAAAAATTAAAATAAAAATAGCGATAATTTCTAATAATATTAATAATCCTAAAACTTAAATATAATAATAATAATTATAGGTAGCAATGTTTCCCAAAAATTTTATTCGCCACGTGAATTTGAAGAACATCTTTTATGGCTCGCCTCAGATAAAGAATCCTCTTGTAATTGTAAATATTGTATCAAGAATCGACAAAGAAAAGGGATTGAGACTAGTGCAATTACTATAAAGAAAGTTCCATCCAAAAAAAGATTTATTGATTCAAGTCAAGAATCGTCTTCAACAGAATTTAGATCTACCAAAAGACTTAGAGAGAGCGTTGGAAATGATTATCATCAAAAAACTCGAAATTTCAAGAAAAAATATAATACATTTCGAATTGGAGAGATCGTCTGGGTAGAAATTCAATATATATTGAATTCAAAAAATGAAATGATTCAAAATGAGATGATATTGGAACAAATTACTCATTGGCCAGCATTTGTACGCGACCATAATCAATTAACCAATTTAACTGATGATGATGAGGAGGAGGAGGAAGAAATTCCATCACTAGATTCTATTATTCAATATGATTTACAAATCTTATTTTATAAAGATAATATGAGATTAAAGCAAAAAGCCATTTTACCGTGGTTAGCTCTTGATTCGGTAAATTTTGTAACCGAAATTAATAAAATCGACAAAAATGATCGTACCGAGTTTATGTCCAATTTTTTAAAAGCCATTGATTACGCGAATGATGCAACTTCCAAAACTCTCGAACCATTTTATTCAGAGGAATTGATTTCTTCTCACCATCGTATTATCAAAGGGATTTTGATTGGATCGGAATTATTGAAAGAGAATGATTATATTCGAGTTAAACACAATAAACAACAACAAAACATTATAGACGTAAATAAGAGTCCAATTTTTAAAATTAATTACATTCTTCATAATGAAGAAATACAACGAATTGAATTGACAGGTGATATATTTGTCCGAGTGCATCAAGATCAAAAAGATCAAAATGTTTTAGTAAAGATTAATTTGAGCGGTCAAGAACATAAAATTGGTTTGGGTGATATAGCAGGACGATTTTATGAAAAATATTTAGATATCTCAAGATGTTTTCGAATAGATGAATACTCTAATAATCGATTCCAATCAGAATTTTTTAAAGAATTTTGAAAATTATTTAGCATATTATTGATCACGTGAAAAGAATGCATTGCTTTTAATTTTTGCTTAGCATATCACGAATAATTGTTTATTTGCAATATTTTGTACAAATAAAAGTTTAATTAATATATTTGGGAGTGATTAAAAGGAATACCAATAAGGGGAATAAATAAAGTTTCGTACATTCTTTTATAATTCTGATAATTCTTTAAATATAAAGATGATCATGTATTTTGTTTCAAAAAATAAAAATTAAAAAAAGTAAAGTTTTTCTTATGTTGATTATTTTACAAGTTTTTTTTTTTATTATTAAAGAATTTAAATTTGTGAAGAGAAATACTCGCATGTGTTAAATGACTTAATCTTCTTTATTGCCTTTATGACTCTTTCAAAATAATATTCAGGATAAATTCACAAGAAATTATAAATATATTTTTTAGAAAGAAATGGGTAGTAAACTTTATTTACCATCGTTATGGATTGACGAGAATCCAAAGTATACCAAAAAAAATGCTCCCGATACAATCTTTTTAATGGCGGGCCAGCCAGATTCTGGATTGGTAAAGTCGGCTCGATTATTATTTTATTTTTTTTTCTGATAAATTAAAGAAACTTTTTTTTTTTTCTTTAATTCCTTAATTCATTTTAAATATGATCATTTTAATTCCCGTAATTCCTATGATTCCTTTTTAATTCAAAGGTAAAACTCTTGGAAAAAACAAAAGAAACATCTAATCTAGAAATTAGAAAATCCGGAATGATAGATATTCCCGGTAATTATTTATTACATAAATCAATTGTTTTTTAATAAAATAAACCTTTATTGATACGCTTAACTCATCAATATATAGGAACAAATCCTCCATTTTGTCATTATATCAAAAGGGATTCCGTCGAATTGCGAGCAACTTTTACGACTGTTAAAGGTTATCAAGTATGCATATATATATCCATATAAATATATGCACTGTAAATATAATATAAAAGAAAAAAAAAAAAAAAAAACTAAAAATCTTAAAAATCTTTTCTTTGTGTGAAAAAGTCTGACATTCATTATCGTCATTATTTCAATGCTCCAAATGTAAAACGTTTGATCTATTTTTTTGACATAAACATTGACCAGTAAGTCATCATAATAAAAATAAATTTTTTTTTTTTTTGAAAGGTTTCACGTATATTTCATTTCATCCAATTTCTATAATTTTTTTCTTCGATTGTAGTTTAAAACCTTACGTCACAGATACCGAGAAGATAGATCAAGTTGTCAAAGGAGTGTTACCACCTTTCGAACCATTACTCAAATCATGTTACGGTCGCATGTTAGATAGTCGTCAAGCTGTAAGTATCAAAATTTCAATTTTTTTCAAAAAAAAAAAGTCATCAAATAATTCTTTTTTCATTTTTCAAATATATAAATAAAATAATGACAAAAAAAAAAAATAGCTACAATCCGTGACAAATGTGGTAAAACGACTTCACCCCAAGATTCCTTATACAATCGTAGTAACAAATCGCAGTAAATTACCCGAATTCAACGATATACTCGTTTGTAAATATTTGAATCTTGAATCTTTGTCTTGTCCATCAATAGAAATTGTGGACGTAGATATGGATCATTTAGGCGATGTTATCGAGTGGTCAAATCAATTGATGGACATGAACGAATGGACTTTTCTTAATCATAGATTATCTAGTACTCAATATGCGGAGAAATTAAAAAATAAATAAATAAATAAATGAAATACTGTAATTTTTTTCTCTTCGGTAATAATAATTATTAGCTACCTAATTTCTCAAAATATCGATATAAAGTATCATAAAAATTATCATAGCGATATTGAAAAAAAAAAATATCGTTCAAAATTTTTTTTAATTAATTTAATTTATTTACTTGTTGTCAAAATATTTAGTATTTTTAGATTAATGTATCATAGAAAAGACTATATTGGGAATAACGAATAATTATTCATCTAATTTATCTAATGACTAATATCAATTAATCCACATGAATTCTGAAATTATTTGTCAACATTAATTATCAACGCGTTTCAATTTTAAGTGCAAATGACCGAAGTCATTTAAATATGGAAAATGATCAAAGTTATTTTTAAAAATGGCAAATGCCTTGAAACTTATCACAATAAGATATAGTGGTGGGGTAAAATGTGCCGTTCGAAGTTACATTTTCCTTTTTAAGGAATAATTTAAACTTTTCACGTTTCTGTTAATTTACCAAATTTTGCCAACAAAAAGAAACAAACTACAATGCATTCGTCTACAATGTTCAATGTTCGGATATGGGGTTGCTGTCACGTTTCCACATTGGTTTCATCCATTTCTATCCATTTTCTGTCAATTTCAGACCCAAAAAGAAAAACGGCAAAATTCAAAAACTCGTATGATATTAGTAATATTACATCATGCGGAGTTATTTCAATCGCAAGTGTAAATCCGATTGGCAGAGGCCAAAGGGCAGAACATAAATGAAAATTTCCAAGATTGTTTTCAAGATATGTTTACAACCTCTTTGGAATAATTATAAATAATTATACCTCGTGGGAATGTTTGTATCCCAAAAAAATGGGTAACTCTCATTAACCGCAGAAAAGTTGTCAATTTTGATCATCTCCGAAAATAAATATAAATGATTATACGAGTATTTTGATATAGAAGGGATGTACTATAATAAAGTTATATTATCGAATTATGCCAAAAAATAATTTTTGAATTTCTCGTCATCGAATATTAAATGTATAAATAGGTCATTATTCTTTTTCCGTTTTCTCTTTTTTCTTCTCTTCTCCAAGAGTTGAAAAATGAATCACCTTTGATTAAATTTATTTTTTTCATTCTAAATTTTTGGGTAATAAATATATATATTCTATAATCCTTTCTTTATTGAATCGTTTAAACCCGATCTTGTTTAAATCTTTTCTTGTTGTTGAATCTTTTCTATTCTTTTTGATCTTTTTGTTTAAATCAATTCTTTTTATTTTTAAATCTTTTCTTGTTTGTTTGATCTTTTGTTAATTGTACAAAAATCAATTCATTCGTATAGTGACATGAACCTTTTGATCATAATCATAAATTAAAATTTACAAAAACTTCTGGACATCAAATGCAAGCATTACATTTTTGAAAAGTAAACAATACATATTTTACCTTGAAAAATAATAATAAAGAAAAAAACTCCTCGAAGATTGTTCACAGAGGGAAAATTTATTATTGTAAATTATGGGACCTTTTAAATTTCCAGAACACGGAAATGGTAAACGTAATAATGATAGTCTCGATAAAGTAGTCTTTCTATCCAATTCATCTACAGACATTGAAGCATCTTATTCTTTCGAACAAGGAAATGAGCAAGGAAGTGACAACGAAACTGTACAATCAAGTCCTACTACTACTGATACTATAAATACTACTATTAATAGTAGTGATAATAATTTCCAACGAAAGTTTTTAGAAATTGCAGCTAAACCTCCATTTCCTCCCACGATCCTTCCTAAAGATTTAGTTAATGATCTTTTACGTAGCAACAAGTCTAAATCTCATAAAATGCTGAATGAATTCTTCATATATCGTAAAGCTGTTGTTCAAGAATTAAAAAGACAAAAGCTGCGTCTGAAAATGACAGATACTTCAACTTTAGCATCTACTTCTTGGCATAGAGAACCACCTAATGTTAAAGATGAATATAGAAGATTGGCTCGTGAAACGGAAAAATTATATCTCAAGGTTCGCGCCGAAAATCAACTAAAATCGGAAACTGAAAAAATCGACAAGACTGACAAGACTGACAAGAATGACAAGACTGACAAGACTGACAAGACTAAAATGACAAGCAAGGCAACCAAGACAGACAAGACATACAAGGTAGACAAAACATACAAGATAGATAAGACAAACAAGGCAGACAAGACAAGCAAGACAGACAAGACAAGCAAGACAGATAAGACAAGCAAGACAGATAAGACAGGCAAAATAGACAAGGCAAGCAAGGCAGATAAGACAGACAAGACAACTAGAGAAGAGTCTTCGATTTCAAGTACAGAAACTGACACCAATTTTTCTCCTACACCTGAAATTACAACAATTCCATATATTCCAGATATGGAAACTCCAAATTTTGATTTTACAAATTTGTTTAGTCAAATTCCAGGATCACATAATATTCCATTTAATCAATTTTCTCAATTTTCTGGGTATGTTCATAATCCTCCGCCTCCTTTTTATCAGGAACAACAATATGAACAACAACAATTTCTTATTTTCCCAAGTAATAATACATATTATTCATTATCACCATATTTTACTTCTTTCGAGTATGGTAATTTTGGTCCAAGTCAAATTGCTTTTAGAACTTCTTATCAAGATCTACAACAACAACAATCGTTACAACCTTCGTTCACAAGTTTAGCAACAGTATTTCCAGGAGGAGGAATTTTAAATATTCCGTTAACAACTGAATTTTTGTGGTCTTCGAATATAGAAAATTATCGTTATCACTTTCCCACTTTCATGCCACTACCGACATCTTCTTATGCACCTTATGTAACTTTATTCACTAATAATGATGATAATAATAATAATAATAACAATGACTATAATTATAATAATTATAACGAAAATAATTATAATAATTATAATAATGATCCAACCGCACCATCTCAAAATACTGGTTCGAAATAATGCACGAGAAAAATTTGATATTTCTAATATTTCTATATATATTCTTTCTTTCTTTCCTTCTTTAAAAATAATTGTAATTGTATCAACTTGAACGGATGTATGAAAAAAAAAAATTAAGATTATAAGCTATAATATATAGAATAATATAGAATAATATACAGAATGATATAGAGTGAAGAGTAAAGAAAAAAATAATAAGAAATTTTTGTAAGCTTTTTCTTTAACGCGTTTTTTTTTTTATTATGATCATGCTGTCATATGATTACGTAAGATTACAACAAATAATAACGTTACAATTAAATAAATTTAAGAATTATTTAAGAATGACTTTTTTTTTTGTTCTTGAAAGAAATTAATTGATTTTTATATTTTAATCAATTAATTAATTAATTTTAATTTTAGATATTTTATAATCGTTCACTATTATGCTTAACCATAAATGGTTGTACAAGAAAAGATTTAAAAGTATATTTTTTAAATTGTTATCCAATTTTGGTTAACTTAACGATGATCAATTATATTACATACAATTTACGCGATTAAATTCAAAATGTAATTAAGATTTATATTCTAATTAAAAATATTGACACGATATTTTTCTATCATATTATATAATAAAAAATATACATTACATACAAATAATAATAATAATAAAAATGATAATAAAAATAGTATATAAAAAATAATAAAATTGAATTTAACCCAAAGCATATGCCAAAGCATCAAACCACCAAAATCCACCGACTCTAGCAATCCCTTGTACAGCATTACTAATAAAATCTTTATGTCTATTAAATTCTTTATCAATTCTACTTAAACCTTCCAGAAAATCTTGATAATCCACTCGTGTAGGTATTAATGGTAAACCATCAACACCTAATCGATTCCATGGATCATTCATTTCTTCTTCATTATTCATAAATGAATCTGAATCTGAATCCGAAGAAGAACTTTCATCAATTTTATTATTATTATTATTTCTTTTAGATCGTTCATCTCGTGAAATATCATAAAATGATAAATTTTCTCCTTGGTAACGTATATACAAAGTACTAAATCGAATTGCCAAATCGAGTACATCTAATATTGATTTATGAATTGGACTGGTCTAATATAATAATATTATTATTATTATTAAAATTAAATATTTGTCAACGTGATAAAAGGAAAGGGCAAAATATAATTTGCAAACCTTTTTTCCAAGAATACATCGTTCAAATGCTATTTGAATATAATGATCATGTAAAGCAATCATTTCATCTATATCAAAAACATCCTGCAATTTCCTACGAAAATTTTCTGTTTCTGCAAGTAATATCTAAAAAAATATAAATAAATAAACGAGAAAAAATAAAAAAAAATAAAAAATAAAAATAAATAAAATAAAATTAAATGAGAAAAAATAAAAAATAAAAATAACAAACGAAAATAAAAAATAAAAAAAATAAATAAAAAATATATTACATTTCTCATAGTATAATCCCATATTGTATTTAAAAACCATATTAATTTCATTCTTACACCATAAAATAATATCGTAGCTTCATTTTGATTCACCGTGCGTGAAAATGATAAACGTTCTAAAAGATATTTGGCTCTTTTTATTTGTAGCAAGAATACAAATATACGCCCGTATAGTTGCAATGCATCACTACTTAAAATATTATTAAGAGGCCACGGAAACTAAATGTGAATGTTGTGAATTATTTTGATAGCTTATTTTAACATTTCAAAACAAAACCATAAAAAATAACGAAATAACGAAAAACAAAAATAAAAACAAAATCAAAAAAAAAAAAAAATCAAAAAAAAAATAACATAAGATAAATAATAAAACGACGAAACTCACATGATACTTGCTATAAATTTTTTCAAATATTCTAACGGTGGTAATATCAAGCATCGAACCAGATTTATCATCCACCCAAAAAGTGATAGAATTTCTATCCAACCATTTAAAGTTTCTCAATATGTCTAAAATGAGTTCATTAAGAATATAGGTATCGTACCACATTTGACCTTTATCTATCTTTTTTTTTTAGAATTAAAAAGAAAAGAAAAATTAAAAAATTGAAATAAATTAATTTGTTGAAAATTTACAATAAAAAGATGTTATCAAAAAATATTTAAATATTTACTTTTTCAAATAGAGTATCACATAACCGATGCATCGATTCTCCTTGTTGCATAAAATAAAATCCTGATAATGCGCCAATATGTCTCCAAAATTGACATTGGTCTACTAAAGCGTCATGAAGTTGTTGACCTATACGTACATATCTCGGTTGAAGATATTCATCATATCTCTCTCGAAATCTTTCATTAAAAGGTTGAAATATTAAGAAATTATTCATTCTCTCATCTATTCCTTTTTCTGAAGTATCCTTCTTTTCTTCTTCATCTTTATTTTTCTCATTCGTTTCATTTGTTGTCAGCGGTAGATTCAATAAAGGAAATAAAAAGGATGTTGTCTTGGGAAAGTCATTAATTATTTCATTTAAATCGAAAAGATTTTCTATCTTTAGTAACTCTGGTAACTTGCTATCATCATTATAACAATTGTTGAAGTTGACTTGTTGACCTTCATCTTTATTCTTATTATTAATTATATCTTCTTTATCATCATTATCGTTATTTATTATGTTTTCCTTATCTTTTTCAAATTCTTCTTCATGTTCAAATTCATCATTACGTTCAAATTGGATTTCCTTCTCTTTTTCAAATTCTTCTCCATGTTCAAATTCATCATCACGTTCAAATTGGATTTCTTTCATCTTATCATCATCTTCGTCCATCTCATCATCTTCATCTTCCATCTCATATTCGTCTTCATCTTCCATTTCATCATCATCGTGCTCTTTTCTAGGTTGAGTTTCGAAAACCGCCACTTCTCCTTGTCTATTCTTATCAGAAAATTGACTTAATAAGTCTTCCTCATCTTCTAGATGAGATTCATTATTGAATGATTCTTCAATAATCATATCCTTATCATATGTCTTATTGTTTAAAGGAAAATCAAACAAAGACAATGAATCTACACCCAAATTAAATTCCTCTGAATTATATTGAAATGATAATCTACGTCTATTTTCTCCCTAAAAAAAAAATAATGATATGATAATAGAAATTTAAAATATATTTAAAGAAAATGATAATAATAATAATAGTAAAAATGATAATAAAAGTGATAATATGAAATAAAAAATTTAAAATAAAAAATAAAATACCTTTCTCAGGCTTAAAAACATTAATAAATTACGGGCTTTTCCGGCAAATAAAATTCTACTTGCGAAATTTTCCAAAAAATCTGGCAATATAATTCTTTTTGATTCCAAATTATTGGTCATCAACTTTGTTTCTCTAATTTTATACATCTCTGACCAATATTCCGAAGACAATATATTAATATCTGGATTTCTATTAATTATAATTATATAAATTATTATATAAATTAATTATTGATTTTAAATTGATTATAAGAATTTATCGAACAACGAGATAGGTAAAATAATAAATAAATAAATGCTCACTTTACAATAAAAAATTCATCCGCAGGATCATTTATGACTCCTGAACTAATCCATTCATCAATAATACGAGTAAAAGGTACCAAAGAATTGTCGAAATGTTCTCCCAACATTAAAAATATAGATTTACTTCCTCCCATTTGATGACGAACTAATTCATTAAATAAACCGGTTAATATTTTATATGTTATTTCATAAGCTGGAGACTTTGATGAAGAAGAAGAATGCTGTTGTTGATTTTGAATAGAAATGTCTAATAATTGACTAGGTAAATCTATTATTGTTATTATTATAAATTATAAAGAAATTTGATAAGAACATTTATAATTTAAGTGATCTTAAATGAATTATTTAAGAAAGAAATTTAGAAAAAAAAAAATACCGTGAAAAAGATAAGTCTCAAAAAGGTTATATAAAATTTTAAATTCATATAAACGATCAGATATCTGATTTTGAAGTTGCAACAAAGAAATATAAATATTTTGATCTTTAAAAAAATAAATAAATAAATAAATATATATATATATATATATTCAAAGTTAATAATATGAATCTTAAAAAATTTGGCATAAAGAAATAAGAAGAATTTTTTAACCTTGAGATTTTAAATTGTTTACGTGATATGTAAATTCCAAATTTGCTAATAAATTATCAAATTTCCAAATCATTTTTAGAATTGACATAGCAAAGGCTTGAGTCGTTTGTCCATAAATTAAGCAAGATTCTTTGCATACCCTAAAAATATTATATTATTTTAATAATGAAACCCTTCACATTTTAAAAATTCAAAAAAAAAAAAAAATTTTTTTTGGGATAATTCATTACCTCGTCGAAAATGTTCTCAATATTGTAACATAATTTCCATACTCGCAGAAAAATTCTAGAATAGATTTAAATGCTCCTTCCGTTAAATGCATCAATAATGCATTTAGTTTAACCTTTTAAATAATTTATTCATTATTATAATTTAATTATAATTCAATTATTATTCAATCATTATTCAATTATTATTATTATTATTATTATAATTGACTATGGAATTAAAAAAAATATATATATATATATATATATTTCATACTTTGAATTTTCCATTCGCCTTCGGATCTTGAAAAAACAAAAAACTGGGTCTCCCAGATAACATAAATAACACTTCACGAATGGAATCAAGTTCCGTAATATATTTTGCTAAGGTAGGATCATAAAACAAATATCTTTCATCTTGACTATGATGTTTGGCCAGTGAAGGACCTTTTTTATTTTAACAAAATAATGTAACGCGAAAACTATTTAAAATAATTAATGATAAAAAAAAATTATGAAAGAAGTGGGAAGAAAAATAAAAGAAAACTTCCTCACCTAAAGTACATGAATCATTTTTGTCAAATTCCGTAGCTATAATAAGAAGAATGGCATAAAAGAATGATAAATAAAATGCACAAAAACACCAAAAAAAAAAATAAAATAAATAACACAAAAATGCACTCACCGTTCAAATATGAATAATTACTATAACCTTGTCTCCAATATTGTTTAGATTGTAATTCTTGTATTAATTTATGATTCGTTTCTTTATCTACAATTTCTTTTACTCTAAATTGTTCGATGTTATGCTTCGTCTCCGAATCAGACTAAAAAATAAAAATTTAATATTAAAAATTGCTCCTTGCTGAACTAAGAGAATATCAACGTTTAATTATTTAAAAATAATAATAATTTACAATCGTATTATGATTATTTGTATCAACTCTTTCTCTAATCCATCCTTCCCATTCATAATCATCATCTTCATCACCTTCATCTTCATAATAATTTTTTTGTTCCCAATGTAATCCCATTAAAGGTTCTTCTCGAAAAATATCGGATACTTTAAATTGTGGGGATTTTGGTTTTTCTTGGGTAAATATTGTTGAAGGAATGTAGGTGGTTTTAAGAGGTGATTCGGATAGGTTTAAAATTAAGACAAGAATATCATAACGAGTATGTGACTAATAAATGAAAATAAATTAAAAATAATTAAAAAAAAAAAAAAATATAGAAAATACAGAAATAATTGAAATTAAATGATGATGATAATTTATAAAATTACTAACAGGAATTGATCCCTCAAACCTCGGCTTTTGCATAAATAATGTAACCCATCTATCTAAATATTCTGCTTTACTATCTTGTGTGTGTAAACGAAATTTTTCGGAAAGTCTTTGAAATATTAAATAAAAATTTTATTTATTATATCAATAATATAAAAAAATAAGAATACAATAAAATACAATAAAACAGTTCACGTATTTTTATATTTACCCTTGATACTTTCGTAATACTACTTTTTGACCAGTACTACCAAACTTTCCAAATCTAAACGTCGAATGTACATTTTTTACAAATTTTTTATAATTTTCGGATCCTGGCTAGAACATAAATATTGAATTAAATTTGGACAAAGAATCAAACTAAATCCAATAATAAATTTAAATATTAGAGACCTGTGTATGGGTTATATGTTGAATTAATTTTTCGATTGAGGTATTTACAATATTTGTAGACATTTTAGAAATAACTTGGACAATAAAACGGATCGATATTGCAGAGGTTATTCATCAAATATTTTCTATTATAATTATATATACAGTGACACAAACAGATCACCGATATAAACAACTTTTTTCGTGTCTTCCCAGTTTATTATTATTAAAAATCAAATACTGTAGTGTAGACAAAGGAAGAAATATATCTAATATATTACCACTTTTTTATAAACTTGTGAGACGGACTATAAGCCAATGTGCAGTTAAACAATAATATAATTCTATGTAAAATATTATGCTGAACACTTTCACTTAGAGTAGTTAACATAATAAAGTTCCGAGTTGTTTTATATGTTTTTATTTTTATAAATCTCAGTTAATCCAATTACAGTTCTGTACCCGTTGTCTTCTTTAGATAACGATTATCGCGCCAGTAGATAACTTAATATTAAAATCTGATATAAGTAAATATATTATTATTATTATTAAAAATTATAGCATATGATTTTTTTATTGTATTTCTCAAAAAAGTGTCATTATGTAGATCAAACTAACTGTTTATTGATAATCAATTTATAGAATGTGTTCATCATTTTTTTTTTATTTATTTTTTAATTATGTCTTCTTTATCAGTTTTACCTACCCCATTATCACCCAAAGTAAGAGCAAATTTTGCTACCGGTTCACGTTTATTATCATGTGCAATTAATGAAGAATTAGTGGAAGCTATTTATATTCCAAATAATAATTCTTTGGCATTAAATGAAATAAACAGTTCCATCGGTGTGGTCTTTGTCTTATCACCAAATTTTAATAAATTTTATAATAATGGAATTAATGAAATTAGTGACAAAAATGATAACAATAATATATTTGTCATTAGAGTAAATCATAAACCTTTATTTTCTTCTTCGATGATACACGAAAATAATGAGAATAAGAAGGAAATGATGAGAATTAATCACATTAATCCATGGGATATCTTACCTTCTATATTTCAAATTCAAATACCTTTGAATCATGCATTTTTATATGAATCAAATAATATTTCAAATGTATTGAATTCTCATTATTATTCTTTTTTGAATGATTTGATGGAATCATTAGAGAAAAAAGTAGAGAAAAAAATTGTTGTTGGACCATTAGAAATATGGAATATTTTAGCTAAATGGTTAAATTTACCAAAAGATCTGGTAGAATTTTTTGATTCGGAGTTAGAAAGTTCAGTAAAATATCAAGGTATTATTAAGATTTATATACACGTATAAAATATATAAAATATATAAAATATATTAATTATATATAAAGAGAAAGAACAATTTTAATTTTATATATTTTATTTTTCCAGAATATTCTTATAAAAATCCCAAACCAATTCCATCATTTATTTCAACAAGTGTAGAGTGGGAACAAAGTTTAATAGAATCACATCCATTTCATCCGGTATTTAAATAAATTATTATTATTACTATTATTATTATTATTATTATTATTATTATTATTATTACCTACATTTTTAACATATCATTCAACATGTATTAATTAAATCCTTATTTGAAAGTTACATAAATCAAGAAAGGCAGTTCCACCACTACCAGATATTGAACCTGGTACTTATGACTTTGAAAATCCATTAATTCGGTTTGTTTCAGTGACACGAGATAAAGTAAATATTCGTGGTTCATTTGAAAAAAATATACTTGATATTATAAATATAATGTCATTAAAACCGAATATATTTACTGATGACAATAGAATTCTTATACCAATTCATGAATTACAATTACCAATGATTAAAGAGAAATTTTCTTATGTAGAAATTTTACCCGAAAAATATTCAATTAAAGCAAAAAGTTACGCAAATTTAAGAACTATAATATTTCCAAATCTTCCTGATCGATCATTTAAACTTCCTTTAGCCATGAGATTAACATCTGCAATTCGAACAATTTCACCTTGGTCGGCTTATATTGGTACAGAATTATTACCAATATTTGAAAGACTTGTGGTTAACAGGAATATTTTAAGAATTACCTATGAAAAATCTTTTGTGATTTCTGCAGAACAAGATTTTGATGTAGCGAAACATTTGGCTTGTATTATAAGAGAAGATGGTGTTGATGATCGAGATGAATCAGAAAAAGTAATATTGAGTGCAGGTTTAGTAGAACGAGATGAAAATGGATCAAGTGTTTTGGAGAAAGTTTGGAATTTGGACACTGAACAGAAAAGAATTGATTTTCTTGACAGGTAAAATAATAATGATATCATAATATAATTCCATAATATATCATAATATAATTTGTTAATAATAATAATATCATTGTTCTTTAGATATATAAAAATCTTATTTGAAGCATTTTTGCCACCAGTTATATACAATGGATTCACATTTGAACCACATTTACAAAATACACGTGTGAGATTTAATTCTAAAGATAGATTACCAATTGGATTTATAATTAGAGATAATGGAGGCATTAGATTTCATCAAGAGACTTTATTCGACACTATAGGAATGCGTGTTGAAACAATTCCTGGAAATTCTTATGAGTCCAAAGATTTATATGATGTACTTTATTATTTCTATTATTAAATTAAGTCAATTAAATAATTTTGATTTTTCAAAAAAAATAATATTTTTTATAATATTTTTATATATAGGTTTATGATAAACTTTATCACTCATTAATATACAATCACGTACGTCTTATAGTATGTTCGATACATTTACATCATTCAGGAATTGGTTGGGAAATTGTTCGAAAGCATTTATCGAATATTATTCCTGCTGATCATTTATTAAGAAAGTTATGGTTGGAGAAAGAAACTTCGGAAGGAAAATGTTTTTTGAGGATGAAATTTGAAGGAAAATTTAGAGATGTAAGTTCTTTCTCTCTTATTATACCGTATATTTATATCTGGTAATTTATTCATTTATTTTTTTATTTTCATTTATTTATTAGTATATTTATAGACCAATTCCTAATTTCATTTTATACAAGTCTGAAGAAGAAGGTATTACTATGGAATGTTCACCAAAAATAAATTAAAAAATATTATTTGTATCTTTGGTTGATATTCATTTTTTTATCTCAAGAATTATTTGTATGAAATAATAATTAAATATTTTTTTATTCAATAACAAGATGAAAATAATGAATGAATTTAGAAAATTTTTAACTCCTTATAAATAAACTAATATTTTTACTTACTACTTATTTCCTTTTCAAGGAAAAGAATGCAACTTTTTCATAGTACTTTATAATTTAATAAGTAAGATGCAAATATGAAATATAACGTTAATAAAATTTATAAATTAGATGTATCCAAATCAAAATCACCATCCAAATCATCATCATCCAAATCATCATCCAAATCGTCTTCATAATCATCACCTAATAAAAATAATTAATTAATTATGAAATGAAAATGAATATAATTAGAATTTATTTGATAAAAAGATTTTGTTAATTCTTCAAATTTTTTTTTTCAAAATTTTCATCATTTTAAGGTTTTGGAAGATTTGAAAAATTGAAAAGTCTACTGGTATAAATTGCTTGTGGATGGGTTTTATAATTCATCGGAGTTTTAGTTGTCATATATAGGGTAATACTCCAGAAATGGTATTCTTGGATTGGGATTTTGGATGTTTTCTGTAATTAATTTACTCAATCCAAAATCTGATATATATACACCAGAATAATTTTCAAAATCATATTTTAAAATATTTCCAGGATGAACTATATTTAATTTATGAATTCGTGCAAAACCATCAGCTAAACTTTTTAAATTGTATAATTTATAATACCAATGGATATTATTAGAATTATTATTTAAATAATTTCGAAAACTTCCACCTTTATGATATTCTAAAACTATCAAATGTTTGTGAGTTTCTGGATCTTTTGTAATTCCATAAAGTAAAACTGCTGATAAACTTTCATCATCATTTGAATTGCCATTTAAATAACATATTTTTAAAATTATAGCATATTTTCAAATAAATTTCCATATTAATTATTAATTTAAAATATTAGAAAGGCATCTATTCTATTACTTTATAATAGGTATCAGCTTGAATAAATTTATCTATTGTGGCATTTCCGCTTGTCCATTTATCAAAATCATTTTTGAAATGTGTTGAGATGCACGGTTTGCACCAATACGATTCATATCCTGATTGCATTCTCGGCATATTTCAGGCATTTTCTGTTCGCTTATAGTATGTAAGGTTGAAATTTTTTTTTAATAAAAAATTTAGAGTAGGTAAAAATGTCAATAAATTTTTATATTTATCTCATCAATGACTTGATGAATTTAGTCATCTGGGTCATTTAATATAACCATAATTCGCCGATATTTATATTTAATAATCACTATAATTATAATTTGATTTTTTATTGTTTGTTTAAATGACTTTTCAAATTTGGTTTGTTCTATTGTGCGATCGCCTTTCGATTTTTTTGGTTAAAAAATTTCTTATTTCGAATTTTCATTGTAATAACCAATATTGATAAATTAAAAATTCATATGAAAGGGCCCAATTAACATTATTTATATTATATAAGATAAATTGTACATTATATTACAATATGTGAGTATTAAATTCAATAATTATTGAAATCAGAACTTTCAAATCAATCCACTAATTGCATTGCCTATTTTTTGATTTATAAAACAGGTCGTCGTGAGTATTTGATTCATAATAATTAAGATCAAAATTTCAAGCTATCTAACATCTCACAAATAATACTTCTTTAATTAATTATCACATAATCAAATACATATCTTATTAAAGGGAGTGGGAGTGAGTATTATTTAAATTCATAATTATTTCGATCAAAGTTTCAAGTTAATCTTAATGTAATCAAATACATATTTTATTACAGGACTTGAGTATTATTTAAATTCATAATTATTTTATATCAAAGTTTCAACCTGATCTAACATCTAATAATACTTATTTAATTAATTATCTCATAATCAAACACATATCTTATTACAGAAAGTGAGTATTATTTAAATTCATAAGCTAATTAAATATTAATTAATCTCGTTAATTAATTATCAATTATATTAAGGTGAGTATTTAGATTCATAATTAATGAAATCAAAGTTTTGAATTAATTTAATATCAACTAATACTTTTCCAATTTAGGAGGTAAATATTTTATATTTATAACTATTTCAATACAGAGTTTTATAATTGCTTATTTTAAATAATACATTTTAGTAATAACAAGGAATATGGAAAATGCAAAGACTGTCAACAAGACAATACTGAGATAAATGGTGCAATACATGTAATAACATAAGATTTCAAAGTGAATTTAATAAATGGACAAGTGAAGATAAAGAAATTGATGAGTTTATTCAACAAACTCAACTTAAGGCAACTAAATATGAAGAAGTTATTGAATGGATTCCATTTGATAAATTTAATAATATATTATATCTTTCTGAAGGAGGTTTTGGCAAAGTTTTTAGGGTAACATGATCTGATGGATATATTATATCTTGGAATTCTCAAAAGAAAATTTGGGAAAGACCACCATATAGAGAATTTGCTTAAAAAGTCTTAATACTTCTATAAGTAAAGATAAATTTTTACAAGAGGTAAAATATTTTATATCATTTAATTTTTATTAATTGAGTAAACAATAAATATTTTTACAACTGATTAATATTTTAGATAAAAAATCAACTCATATTTCGAGGTGGATGGGCAATTGCAATATATGACATAACTAAAAATCTAACAGAAAATGAATATTTGATAGTTATGCGATATGCAAAATATGGGAGTCTACGAAAAATGTTTAATAGTATCTTTAAAGAATTAACTTGAAATAATAAAATTAAAATTTTGTATTACATAACTTTAGGGCTTGCTAGAATTCATGAAACTGGCTTAATGCACAAAGATTTTCACTCTGGTAATATAGTTAATGAAACTAAAATTAGTTCTTATATCACTGATTTTAGGTTGTGTAAGCCAGTTTCACAATGTGATAAAGAAAAAATTTATGGATTAATTCCATATATGGCACCTGAGATATTGAATAGCGGAGAATATACTCAAGCATCTGACATTTACTCATTTGGTATGATTATGTATGAAATTTTTACTAGATATCCACCTTATTGTAATATACCACATGATGAAAAACTTGTAATTTCAATTTGTGATGGTCATAAACCTGAAATTGTGTGAGATTCCACAACTGTTCAAAGATTTAATGGAAAAATGTTGGGATACTGATCCTTCCAATCGTCCAAAAGCTATAGACTTGGAATCTCAACTTAAGAAATATTCTGATTGTGATCATAATAGTGAGATAAGTAGACAGATTGAAAAAGCTAATGAGGCTAATAAGTTAAATAAGAATTTCATTCAATGTGATCCAAAAATGACACATCATCAAGCAATATACACAAGTAGACATTTGCCTTTTCTGAAACCAAAAAAAGCTGAACATGGTAAGTATATCTTTTTAAACAAATAATTATTTTTATAAAATATTTACATAAATTAATATTTTAGATACAAACCAGTGGGATTTTGAAATCCCTGAAGATATAAGTAAGCATTGTATTTCTTGAATTATTTGTTTAGTATGTTTAATTTAAAAACATAATTAACATTATTTAAATTTGCATAGTTGAAGAAAATGAAATTCCAGAGAATTAATCATTAATTTAATTTCTGTTTTGTCATATCAATTTAATATTTAATATTTAGTAACAGTTATTTTGTTTATATTTTTATCATCATCTTATTTTATTTATATATTTATTTATTTTATCACTGGAATTATATAGTATGGCTTTTTATTTAAATTAAAAGCTGACCAGTATGTAATCAATTAAAATAAATCTTTATTATTGTTTTTATTTCTGCATGATATGAACAGAAATTTTTTTACATGCCGTGATTTAATCATCTAACTAAATTAAGTAATAAACAAAATTGTTATTTATTATAGTAAGTGCAATATCTCTCCTATCTTTAAAATAATCTTTTCCAATATATTCTATAAAAAAAATAACAATTTCGTATTCTTAAAAATATCATCATATCATTATTGATCTCATTATTATTATTGTCTAATGATTCTAAAATAAAAATATAATTAGAATTTTTTCATCAAAATAAATGATAAAATAATAAACTAAATACAAATACTTCTTTTTTTTTAATTGCTATGTAATTTTCTTGTCAATTATTATACCTTCATAAGAATTATTATTTTCGCAGTACAGTGGATTTTCAAAAGTCACCGGACAGTTGAAAATTTTTAAAAAAATTACTAAATTTAAAATGCTAATTGTGCCACAACGAGTGCACAAATTTTTTTTTATTAGATTCCCCTAAATCAGGGCTATCATATGATATATTTTTATTAAAATTAAATATCTACACGTAGAGAAATTACACTTCAAATAAATTGACAAAATGATAAATTTAATCTTTAATCGTTGTCCGTACCGGAATCGATCGATTTTAAAGATAGATACCAGCTATCTTATATTTAATTGTAACCAGAAACATTATCTATAATTTTAATTAGTAGCATTTTTATGGTATTTATTGAAAATTTGGGCTTTACTTAGACGTGAATAAAAATAACCAAAATTTATTAAAAATTTTAAAAAGAATAAAAAAAAAAATATGAAAATAATTATCAATCATTTCTACATATAAAAGTTTTTTATTTGCTACAATAGTAACAAAATTAATACTAAGTAACATTATAGCTAAGAATTCGTAGCATCTTTTCTGTCATATTTAGAAATATTCAATTAAAATTAAGTGAATAATGAACGATTAAGTAACAGAAAATAATTTTTAAACATTCGATGTTCAACCATTTATAATAAATTTAATTTGCAAAAATAAATTCTAAAAACTTCATAAAAGATGCTCCATGTTCTTAGCTATAAGATTAATTAATAATACATTTGCTGTTTTTAATATATTATAAACTTTTATATGTAACAACTTTTGATAGTTATTTTCGGATTTTAAAAAAAATATCAATGATAAAATGACCAACAGTGATATTAATTAAAAAATCTGAAAATGACTATCAAAATTTGCTACATATAAAAGTTCGTAATATTTCTTTTGTTTAAGCGCATATATTTAAACAACTAGATTTCAAGATAGATCTTTTACTCTTATCTATACTCACATTCATATTCATCTTCCTTTCCCTGTTGAGACAAAGGTGGGATATGATATAGTCTTAAATCCGTTATGTGACAAAAATATAAAAAACATACGATTTTAAAATTGATTTTTAAGTGTATCTTTTATTTTTTAAAGAATTTATTTGACTTTTAACAAAAAGACACTCAAATACAAACTATAATTAAATGTATATAAAATTTCCACTTAAATTTATTAAATGAATGATTAATTAATTAAAGCCTGATCCAAGTGGCATATCACTATTACTAACCGTAAAGGGAATTTCTGGTGAAAAAATCTCTGTGACAAATTTTTGTATTATTATATTATATTATCATGTTATTAAATAATTTTTAATTTTTAATTTTTTAAGTACATATAAGTTTATCCAATGTTTAAATGAAATTACAATCAATTCGCGTGAAAACTGGAAACTTCATTATTAAAATTGGAATATGTACAAAATAATGTTTATCCGCAATAAGATGGAATCCAATACAATAAACTTTATTTGTAAATGCTTGTTACAAAGATACAAAGATGTAAAATTGGATTTAATTTAAAATTGAAATGGAAATTTTACATTTTGTATTATACAAATAATTCAATTCTTATTTATTTATTATTTATGGATAGAAATTTATAAAATTATTAACAACAAGTTAATAGTATTAAATAACATTGGTAACAAATTATACAATTTATAAATTTATTTAGATCATTTTTCATAATGCATAATCAAACATTTTATTATTGCCAATTGAAATTTCTAAATGGATTTGATCCCATTGCATCAGAAATTAATTGAGTTGAATTAGAATTATCTTCTTTACCTTCTTTACATTCATTGAATATTACATTATTATAATTAAATAAAAATTCATCTGAATCTATCTCATATCTTTCCAGTAATTCTTTAAAACGTGGACTTTTAGTTTCAATCTCATTATTCATTTCTATTTCATTTATATCTTTTTCGTAAATTGGTGGTAAATTTCTAAAAAGATTTCTAGCTGCTTCAACTTCTTCCATAAAATTTGGTGCATATATATTACGTGGTTTGAGATGCGTCAAAATGTTTTCGATATTTTCATGTTCTTGAACCATTTTCAATGCATTAATTGGTCCAATATTACGAATGGTTCCAGCAAAATCTGTCCCACATAATATACAAAAATCTATATATTGATTATTTGAAAATTTAAGTAATTCTCGAATTTTGGCCGGCAAGATTTCTTGAATTGGTTTATTTTTTTTCAAAAATTGTCTTAATACTGGTCCATCTCCATATATTGTTGCATCCATATCATCTGAAACCACTGCATCTGTAAAACCTTTATCAGTTAAAGATACACAAAATGCCTCCGCTTCATGATTAGATGAAAAAATACATGGTATACCCCATGTTCTAAAGAAATCTTGACATTCCTTATACATTTCCCATGTTACTGAAGCAGTACGTCTCTCTAATTTTTCTGCTAATTTTTGACTTTCAAATTCAAAACTTTTTACAATATTTGTTGATGACTGTCCAGTAAGTAAAGAATCCAAAAGTTGATATTCTATCTTTGCTATTTCACGATGAGATCTCGTATATGTTTTATCTGTGGAAAGAGATGCTGCATCTTTGAATGTCAATTTTACAACATCTTCAACTTTTTTCTTCAACTTAATATCATCCTCTGTAGGTTTGAAATCTGGATGCCTAGTTTTAAATGTTTGTACATTTTCCAATGTTTGTATTGTTTTCATGACTGGCTCATCAATTATTATGGGCTGTTTTTCATCTTTTTCTTTTTCCTCAACTTCCTCAACTTTCTTTATTGATTTTTCTATTGAAGGGGACAATATTTCTTCCATTGTTGGTGGCAACACTATTTCTTCCACTGGTGGCGGTGACACTATTTCTTCTATTGAAGGTGGCATCATTTTTTCTGTTAGAGGTTGCAATACTACTTCTACTGGTGATGGCATCATTTCTTTCTCCTTTCTTATATCTTTCAATGTTTGGATTGTTTTCATGACTGGCTCATCAATTATTATGGGCTGTTTTTTATCTTTTTCCTTTTCCTCAACTTCCTCAACTTTCTCTATTGATTCCACTGGTGGTGGTGACACTATTTCTTCAATTGAAGGTGGCATCACTTTTTCTGTTGGAGGTGGCACTACTACTTCTATTGGTGATGGCATCATTTCTTTCCCCTTTCTTAAATCTTCCATAATTTTAACTTTTGCCAAAGGAGAAGTCAAGCCTAGTATTTTAACGAGATGTAAAATATGAAATAAAAATGGAAGTTGTGGCGATTTTGTCAAGGGAGGAAACAAATCTAATATTTTAATAAGATGTAAAACATAAATGAAAAATTGAAGTTGGGATTGTTTCAAATCTATGAAAGATGGTGATGCTAAAACTTTTATATTTTCCTCCACAACTATTTCCTTGGATAATTCAGAAATACTTGGTGGTAGTATAAATATATCTTCAATCAATTTTTTATCCTGTGTAATTTCCTTAGGTAATTCCGGAGTAATTGGTGTTTTCTTGATTAATTTCTCTTCAATTAGAATTTCTGTAGGTAATTTTGGAATAATTGGTGCTTTCTCGATTAATTTCTCTTCAATTTTAATTTCTTTAGGTAATTCTGGAGTAATTGGTGTTTTCTTGATTAATTTTTCTTCAATTAGAATTTCCGTAGGTAATTCTGGAATAATTGGTGTTTTCTCAATTAACTTCTCTTCAATTAAAATTTCCTTAGGTAATTCTGGAATAATTGGCACTTTCTCGATTAATTTCTCTTCAATTAGAATTTCTGTGGTTAATTCTGGAATAATTGGTGTTTTCTCAATCAACTTCTCTTCGATTAAAATTTCCTTAGGTAATTCTTGAGTAATTCGTGTTTTCTCGATTAATTTCTCTTCAATTAGAATTTCCTTAGATAATTCTGGAGTAACTGGTGTTTTCTCAATTAACTTCTCTTCAATTAATTCTGGAGTAATTGGTGCTTTCTCGATTAATTTCTCTTCAATTAGAATTTCCGTAGGTAATTCTGGAATAATTTTCTCAGAAATTACAAGTTGAGGCAAAGAGGGTTCGGGTGGTTGTGCTTTTTTTGATGGTGATAATGCTTCTTCGACAACTTGCCTTAATCCTGTTGTAATGAATTCAGATTTAACACCATCCAGACTTTCCATCTTATCGACTACATCTTTCCATTTTTCTAATCTTTGATTTCTTGACTTTTCAAATTTCCATCCAGCAAATACTTTATCCATTAAATGTTTTCTTCGGGCAATTTCTTTTCGTTTTTCTTTTAACCTTCCTTTTCCATCAAATACGTATATAGGTTTGATGTTATTTTGTTTCAAATACATTGTCATATTATAAAAACCGATGATATGAGGATATGGATGATCCAAACCATTTTTATTAAGACCAAAAACAAACTTTCTCAAAAACAAACTTCCATCTATTGCTAATCTTTTATTCTTATAATGCTCTATATTCCTATTGGTTATCGAGCCGGGTGCATACCGCTTTAACAGAGGGTTTAAATTTCTTACACCCATATCTCATCTTTTGTTTCGTTGTGTTGAATTGAAAAAAAAAAATTAAGATCAGAAAATATAACGTCCAATCAATTCTTCATAATTTCTAGAAAATTTTTCTGTGGAAAGTTACCTCACGTAAATTGATTTACCTTTCGAAAATGGAACATTTTTAACGTTCTTTTATTAACGATATTAGTCTTGTATAATTTAAATTTAAATTTATTCATTTTTATTTAATTATTCGTATATTCATTTTATCAAGCCTGAAGAAGGTATTACTATGGAGTGTTCACCAAAAATAAATTAAATATTTATGAAATAATTAAAATATTTTTTTTATTTAAGTTAATCAAATCGAATTAAATAATAAAGAATTAAAAAAATTACAAGTGAAAAAACATCAAGTCATTTCCTTTGACATTATTTATTTATACAATGTTTACCTCAATAATTATAAAATTTAAATTAACAGTACAATAAAGGAAAAATGGATAAACCAACTTAAAATTTACAATTTAAAAATGAGAATAATGGAATCACGAGAATACTCGACCCAATTTTTTTTTAACTAAAATTTACAGAAAGAAATATATGTAAAGAAAAATATTTTAATTAATATTATGACGATCAACGATTTTTTATATTATGTTATAACTACATATAAAATCGTTGATCATTATCACATATAAAACTTTTTATTTTATAAGTAAATTCCAAAAACAGTACTAAGTAACCTCAAATATAAACATTAATTGTATATTATATAAAAAGGACAGACCTATATAATTAAAATCGAGCGAATAATTGTCATTTTAAAATTTTTTTAACCGTTCTATATTTAAATACTAATAGTTCTTTCCATTTAAATGAAATAGGTTTGTTATTTTACAGAGTATGCAAATTCATTCTTGTCTTAAATATTACTTAGTAACATTGGCGATATTAACTTATAAAAATAAAAATGTTTTATATGTAGCAACGATTAATAATTATTTTCGCGATTTTAAACTCGGCGATTAATGACTCACGATTATAATCGCGATTCTGGACTCGCGAATATTGCGACTTTGGACTCACCGATTAACCAATGAGACTCGATTCTATAGTTGACTCCTACCTGTAACTAATCCTGACCCTAACCCACGTGATAGTTGATTTTATACATATTTTTATCATACTACTCAACTGATTGGATCTTTTTCCAAAAGGAGAAATCGAGTCGCATGAAAACGTGTGGGCCAACATGTTATACTTCTAATCAAACCCATTCACTCTACCTCTAAATATATTCTTAACTATAATAAATCCATTTTCCAGATTATACTTATGCTCATATTTATTTGGATTAATTAATTGCACGTATTGGATTGGATTATCGGTAAACTTTCCCATTGTTTTCGCCGATTATTTCTAGACCTAGCATATTCATATATGCTTATTATTTTTTCGGATTCAAATTTGAATAGGTGATAAGTCGACGAAGCAGGACACTTACGAATCTACCTTTTGTAATTGGTCGAGAGGATGCATGTTAATTATATTTATTCATTGAGGGAACCGGTTTTTGGTTAATTACTGTCTACGTTGAAATATTTGATTCAAGAGAATATAATACTTGGTATAATAATCATCCAATGTTTAAAAAAAGCAGAATATAAAATAAAGGAAATGATCAAATCCAATAAACCATTTGTAAAATATGTCCCAATACTAGATATTATAGCATATCATTAAATCATATGATAAAATCTATCATCGGAGAAATGGGAATCATATTTTTTTTAATATTTTTGACTCGGGGTTATAAAATTCGTTTATTGTTGGAAGAAAATCATATGTTGTGACAAGAAAAACGTGACCGATCAATTTTCACTAAAATTAATAATTAAATATATTATTATAATTTATCATTGTTTTTTTACTTTATTATTTCATATGATTCCTTACCTTTATTTCGATTTTATTATACATCTTTGTTTAACTTTCATTTGGAACTACTTTTGTATCTCGTTTATTCCATTTATGTACTTTAAAGCAATGTTTATATAATTTATTAATTAAACTAAAAAGTCAGAGATTATGACTTATTTTTTTTTCTTTGAAGCAATTCCATAGAAATTATAAACGATAAATAATAAGCTGTTAGTGAATGCATCGGAAATCATACTCCTTGTACTCATCAACAAGACAATATAAGGCGTGAGCGATCATATTTGTTTATAAATATTTTTATGTATCGTACACCCCAATAGACGACTCGTAAGACAAGATAGGGTGTGAGCGTTCATAGTTTGGATGTTAAAATTATTATCCCGGAGTTGACTTTCCTAACGTAGAATGCCGAATTGATGGATTTGTTTATAAATACTACAATATTTTTTTGTATCATCCAAAATGTAATTACGTTCGAATCTTTTCTAAATTATTATTCGAATATGTTTCACCCTAACGGTTATCGCATTTGTCGAGATTGTGGCAAAGAAATATATGTTGAAAGACAATTCTGTCAACAATGCCGTGCTACTGTAAAACTAATTTCTAACAGTGGCAATAAAAATATAGATCATTTCATCGACAATACACGGTCAAAAAGATATACTATAGAATGGGTTCCATTTCATCATTTATATGGTATTGAATATATTGCAAAAGGTGGTTTTAGTCAAATTTATAAGGCAATTTGGGGAAAAAAAAATATTGATCATATTACTGGATTAGAAGAACAGCAAGTTGTTTTGAAAGTTTTTAATAACTCTCTAAATGTGGATACGGAATTTTTAAATGAGGTAATCCATTATTTTTGTTCATTAACATTCAATTATTCACTGTATTTATTTTAAAAATTTTAAATATAGCTAAAACTTACCTATCAGTTTAAGTCTGAATTTGTAATTAAATGCTATGGAGTAACTCAAGATCCAAAAACTAAAAATTATGCATTAATTTTAGAATATGCACCAGATGGAAGTTTACAACATTTTTTAAGACAAAACTTTAAAAAATTAACATGGATAAGGAAACTTATTTTATTTAAAGATATTATTTTTGGAATTAAAGAACTTCAAAAAAAGGGAATTATACATTGTGATTTACATAGTGGCAATATTCTTATTTTCACTGATAGTAGTAATAATTTTGAAAAAGCTGTTATTGCTGATTTAGGAATTAGTCAACTTGTAACTGTTAATTCGAAATCTCAAATGTATGGAGTAATTCCATATATGGCGCCAGAACTTTTTAAGGATAAACCGTCGTATACATTTGCATCAGACATCTATAGTTTAGGAATGATCATGTGGCAATTAACATCAGGACATAGACCATTTCATGATCAAGAACATGGACCAATTCTTATATTAGATATTTTAGATGGAAAAAGACCAGAGATTACGAAAGATACACCAAAATGTTTGGCAAATTTAATGAAAAGATGTTGGCATTCTGATCCTTCTCAACGACCAAAAATAGATGAAATTCTTAAATTATTTAATAAAATTACAAGTTATTATAATAATCATTATTATTCTGAGTATTATACCAAAAAATATTATTCAGATATATATGATATTTTGCCAGAATATAAAGAAGCGGAAAAAGCGAGACTTAAAATGATCAAGTACAAAAAGCCATCTGTAAATAATCTAGGATACGAACATCGAAGTTCTAAATATTATAGTATATCATTAGACTCTATGTTAGAATCTATTAATTCATTAATATCAGGTATTTAATAATTATATTTTTTTTTAAAAAAAAAATTAAAGTCATAAAAAAATTCATATTAATACATACTTTCTATAGGTCAATTCTCAATTAATAGTTTTGATATTATGAATAGCAAGTAAGAATTATATAATATTTATATTTAATTATTAATTTTAAATCAATTTACTAACTATTATGTATTATATATGTATTTAACAATTTTAAATTTTCTGATCTAATAAAGTTCAAAAAATTCAATTTTTAGGCAAATTATCACAAGGAAAAAATTAAAGTAATTTTTTTAATATTATTGAATAAATTTTAATAATTTTGATATTTTATTTATTGAATTTATTTTTTTTATATAAATAGGTGCATAAAAGGTTCGAATAATTTGAATTTTTATTATTGAATTTTTATTATTTCTTTGGAAAGAGTATTCACAAAATTTATTTTAAATTTTTTTAAATATTGCAGCCAAAACTTTGTAATTAAATGAATACTATGGAGTAATCCAAGATCCAAAAACTAAAAATTATGCCGTTATTTTTAGATTATTAACTAAATGGAGACCTGCATCGTTTTTTAAGCAAAAACTTTGGAAAAATTAACACGGATAAGAAAAATTAATTTATTAATTTATTATAAAATATTATTTTTGGGATTAAAGAACTTCAACGATAAGAAAATTATACATTATGATTTACATAGAACCAATATTCTCAAATATATGGAGTAATTTCATAAAAGATGTTGGCATTCTGATCCTTCTCAACGACCAGCAATAGAAGAAATTTGTTATTTCGTTGAAATATTTGATCCAGAATAATACTTGAAATAATAATCATCATCCGCCATTTATAAAGAAAGGAAATGATCTGTAAAATAGAATAAAAAAATAAATTATCAACAAGAATATCTAAGATATAATGATATAGTCATAACATTCCATATTATATTTTATATTATTATATATTTATATAATTAATTTTTAAAAATTTCGTAGTATGATTAAATTC